ATCATGTGACTAAAACCATTGTTCATTTTACGTATGTTAATTGTGAGATTTGATCCTTTATGTTTCTGTTTCTATTTATATTCTCAGCTTTGCATCTATACAAAGTCCTTGTCCCTATGTATGCTTTAATGCCAGTTAAAGGTTAACCAGGGTGTTTATTTCATGTCTCTGTCCTGATAATAGGTAGTGAGGGTTCGACCGAATGACAAGGATGCAAGGATGAAGTATCAAGAATGTAACAAGATTGTGAAACAGAAGGCTTTTGAGAGAGCCATTGCCAGCGACGAGACAAAGAAATCTGTTGTTGACTCTTTGGACATTGAAAACATGAGTATGTTTGCTTTCTTATTTGAGGAATATACATTAGTATCATATAATAATATTTAATTCAGAAGGTATTAAGGTGAAAGATGTGATGTGAACCATATTATTCTTGACTGTGCAGCGATTGAGGATGACTATACAGGCCCAAAACTTGAAGACGGGAAGGTAACATTGAAGTTCATGAAAGAGATGATGGATTGGTTCAAAGATCAGAAGAAACTGCACAGAAAGTGTGCTTATCAGGTAACCATAGTTATTTATATGACATATAGTAGAGTGAGACAAGGAAATGGAAATATGTGTATGCTTCAAATTAAACTGGTATGTATGTATGTATTTCTTTTTTTCCCAGATTTTGGTGCAAGTTAAAGATGTTCTGTCAAAACTGCCAAGTCTTGTTGAAATCACGTTAAAAGAGGTGAGGATTTTTCTTCATATACTCAAGAATGAAGTGAAGTTTTTTAGTTCACAAATAATGAGTACAAAATTAGAGCGTGGTCATATTTTCTAAGTGCTAACACTAACAAAACCCATAATGGGAGTACAGGTAGTAGATGATTGTACATGGCCATTTTTTAAAGTTCTCCATTCTTTGTTAAAGATGTTCTGTTTCTCTTTGTCACAGACAGAAAAAATAACTATTTGTGGGGACACTCATGGCCAATACTACGATCTCCTCAACATCTTCAAGTTGAACGGCTTACCTTCTGACACCAACCCTTATGTATCCTTTGTTTTTGCTGACGCTCACACACATTGGTTTTAAATTTGTGTTCACTGGAGTACTTTTCTGTGTCTAAAATTGTAACAGTCAGATGCCACAAACTTGTCCAGAACTTGTGCGTCATAATGCTTAACCACAGCATTCAGCTGTTCAATGGTGACTTTGTGGATCGTGGCTCTTTCTCTGTTGAGGTCATTCTTACCCTTTTTGGCTTCAAGCTGCTCTACCCCAACAACTTCCACTTGCTTAGAGGTGAGAGCGCTCAAGAGTGTTGTGCATGGATCTCAGGCTGCTATAACGTGCCATATTGTACATCATGATAACTACATATCTCTGTTGGCATTGGGTTTAAAGGCATCTACTGCAAAGTCCTATAATTTATCAGTAATTTAACACCTTTCATGATTAACTGAACATATTGATAGAATATCAAACAACAACTGCCATGTTCAAATAGTCTATGTATTGTAAAAATATTGTTTTGAAGAATAGTCAACTAAACAAGAAAGCTTCATGTTTTACTTTAATGGAATACAGACCACTAACCACACAAATTTGTACCATTAGATGGTGCAACATGTCAGTGCAACATTTATTTAACCACACAAGAAACTGGGAGTAAATTCTAGTTCATAGCAGCAATGTGGTGAATGGCAGAGGTTGTTAAATAGGGGGTGAAATGCTGTCACCTAGTGGTGAAAGTTTAAATTCTGCAGAAGGTAATCGCAAACAACTCTTCTAAAGAGCGATACCCAGAAGTCATTTGCTGGATAATTGATCCTCCATAGTAATGACTGATTAAAATATTTAAGTGTCCTGTGTAATCCGCAGTAACCACTTTTAAATCTGCAGGTAACCATGAGACGGACAACATGAACCAGATGTATGGATTTGAAGGGGAGGTCAAAGCCAAGTACACAGCCCAGATGTTTCAGCTTTTCAGCGAGGTCTTCCAGTGGCTTCCTCTTGCACAGTGTATCAACAATAAAGTACTGGTAAGCTTTGAGAATGTGAACTAAAAGGTGACACTGGCGAGTAATTTATTTGTGCTTAAGGTGTGAATATGTATGGATTTAATTCTTATGGTTGTCATTTAAGTGGAAGTTAATTCAAAATGATGAGATATAAAGTATATAGGAGTATGCTAATGTATGTAATTTCTGTCACCTCAGTTATGCTTCTGAAATAGTATGTGTTGTTAAGATAACTTACTGATTACTATTTTTTTTATTCATCACTTTTCTTGCACAGTGTTTCATGTGTTTTTATTGCTGTACTCACAGTTCTAATTAAATTCTCCATGTCAGGTTATGCACGGTGGGCTGTTCAGTGAAGATGGTGTCACATTGGAAGACTTAAGGAAGATTGACAGGAATAGACAGCCTCCAGACTCAGGTGGGGCCAGACTCTTAAGTCATTATCAGTTTAAATTGCTATAAGAAATATCCTTTAAAAGGGATGACAAGTATAATTTAACACTTTTCCCCATGCGTTCACAGGTCCTATGTGTGACCTCCTCTGGTCAGATCCACAGCCACAGGTGAGTTCTCACCCACAGCATAATTCAGTGCTTCCTACAGATCTGGATGCAATTTGTGCCAGTACCTGCTTTATAGTTTGTGTCTCTCTCTCTCTCCCTCTTACACAGAATGGCCGGTCGATCAGTAAGCGAGGGGTGAGTTGCCAGTTTGGGCCCGATGTGACGGAGCGCTTCCTGGAGCAGAACAAGCTGGATTTCATTGTGCGTAGTCATGAGGTCAAAGCTGAGGGGTACGAGGTCACTCACTCAGGGAAGTGCATCACCGTGTTCTCAGCACCCAACTACTGGTAAGTAATCAAGTTACCTAACTTAAGTGTTGAGTTGACTGTTAAAAAAGTGGCACATTTTAACTGTTGTATTCTCCTTTTTTCTTCTTAGTGATCAGATGGGAAACAAAGGAGCATATATCCACCTCAGGGGATCAGACCTCAAACCAGAATTTCACCAGTTCACAGCTGTGGTTAGTGTCCTGTTATGTTGAGTTTAATAAAATCAATATAATAGTAATAATAATAATAATGATGATATAGAAATAAATAGTTATTAAATAAATAAAGCAGTGCAGGCAGTGTCTTCTAAAAGATTAAAAATTTACCCGTAATACATAAAGTGCATGTTGAGGTTTAGTCAGTAAGGTACATCACTTTCAGGTCCTTAATTAAAAGAAGCGATATCTCAGATGTTTCTACATGAAACAGGGATTGAATTGCGCTAATGGAAAAGTGGTTGAAGTGGAACAAAAACTTAAAAGTACTTCATTCTCATTAACAAAGATTTTAAAGATAAGAAACCTAGAAACAACATTGATATTATATCACTTAAGTGGATATTTTAATGAAGACCATCACTATACAAATTTTGAATATGTGGTTAGCTTAATGCACAGTGTTACAGTGACATCTGCTGGACTACTGATCTGAACTTCTCCCTCATGTTTAGGCCATTTTTTTTCCCTATTCCAAATTTATAAGTAATCTGACAATAATTTGTGAAAATGATGCATTAGAAATCATAACACCCTGAGATGAGCAGTGGAGTCATATATTATCCTAACCAAGTGGAATAAAGCCGAAAACATTAAACTACTATTAACTGCTAAAAGTTTAGCTAATAGTGTCTTAAGAGTTTTAAAAATCTTCTTAAATTCGAATCTAATTCTCATCTCCTTTTACAGCCTCATCCGAATGTCAAGCCCATGGCATATGCCAACACGCTAATGCAGTTGGGGATGATGTAGAGACCCATCTAATCTGTCTGTGACACTGATGACCTCTCATCGGATCCGAACCATCCCAGCCACCTCGTTCCTTCCAGCGCTCGGACATGCTGTTGTTCATGCTTAGCCTAAGGGATCCCTCTCCCTAAAAAACTTCAGCTAGTTGTACGCATAAAGTGTGTGGTTTAGTTCGGATGGGAAGAGATCACTTAGACCAGCCCAGTCCAGGCCTGGATATACTCCTTCACATTACCGGCTAAAACTGAAAAATTACAATTTCCGTTGTCCCTTTGCCTGCTTTTGTGTTCCATCAGTGGGTACAAAAACAATCACAACATTTTCTGACGAGTTTCCTTCAAGCTGCTTTGTTTCTAAATATGTGAGCTCATCAGACGGCATCATATAGCTGGTATTTACCAAAGATCTGTAATGAAAATGATTGTTCAGTTTTTGCAAGGTGCATCTTGTGACTCTGAAACCTAGCATTGTATACTGTTGGCCTGCATACACAGAGATTAGAGCTTTGGAAACTGGTTGAAAAGCAGCATGTCTATCAGTGTTTCTCAAACCACTCTGCAGTATGTCGGTTTATTTCTCACAAATCCAAAATCTTATTACATGTATGATTCCAGTCTAAAAAACAGATATTAAGTCTCTGGGTACACACTGAAAGGTGCTGTTTGCCATTAGTGGTGTATTTAGCTGGTTCGGTCACGTGCACTGCTTCCCAGTAAGGAAGATACTGCTGCTCTCCATGTGTTCATCTCCTCGGTCGTCATTGTGCCACTGACCCAGCGGTTCCCGCACAGTCCACTCTCTCCAAACTAGCTTGTAAAGCAAACACTGTTGGCACTCTAGTCTCCAATACATGTTCAATTACCAGTGACTTATTAACCCCGTATGTGAATTTCTTCAGTACACAAACATCAGAAATGCAATCCTGTCTTGAAACGCACAGCTGCATTGTCCAGTGGCCCTCAACTTTTTAGATAAAGAAATACACTGATGTGTATGTATATAACTGTATCATTTAAAGATTCTGTGTAATGTTTGGAGAAAAATATTGAATAAAAAAGCCAGTCCAGTGATTTTAGAAACATGCCTATATCTTTATTTACGTCAGCTAATAGTCTAAGCTTGCAGCTTTGCAGTTTCAACAAGCTTCAAATATATTACCTTGTTTTGTTTAATTACAATGATCAGATTGTTTTTTCAATAAAATACTTAATATATGTTTCAGAAACAGCAAAGGCTACAAATAAGAATGCTATGGAAAGTATAGATCACAAAGGACTGGAAAAGCAATGGAAGACAGCAGGTTTGTATAAGTTTTTTTTCTTCAAAAATTATTCATTTTGTTTCTGATTTCATATCCATGGAAAATATGGAAGATGGCGAGGAGTATTAAATTGGAGACTAAATGAAGTAAATAATAATCACAGATCCAAACTCAAGCCAATACGTGGGTAGCAAAGAGCAAGAGTGGAGGAGATGCTATTAGCTATAAATACATTAGCTAATATTTAAAACAAAATGAAAAAAATAGATGGGGACAAGCTAGCAGAAAGAGCAGTGTACAGTACTGTGCAAAAGTTTTGAACCCCTCTTAATTGCATCATATTTTGCTTCCAAGGAACTAGAGCAAATAACTTATCCAGGCTTACTGAAGATCTGAAGAGTCACACAAGAACTGAACTAAATATCAGTGGTAACAGGTTTACTATTGTAATGAATCCAAATGTGAAACTCTTCTGTACGGAGGATCTCAGGAAAAAGGTGCAACACTGGGTGTCTACAGCCATCTGTAAAGCATGGCTCTGTCATGGTCTGCATTGTTTGGAAACAAAATGCTGGAAATATGAATACAGTCAGAGTTTGATGCACCATCTTCACTGAGAACGAAACAAACGGCAGACAATATCAAAAGAGCTCCGAAGCCTGGGGAGCTAGTCCTGAAGAAATGACAAGAAAGCAGCCTAACGGGCTGTGTTGAAGAATAACAGCCTGAACCCATTTCCCCAGCAAAATATAAAGAAACGACGTCGTTTTTCACAGTACTGTATATTTATGTAATTCTATCACTTTTGGGGTAACTAACGAAGGGGTCCCATAAAACAACGAAACAGCTTATTTCCTGAAACAACGTTTAAAATGTATACATCTAGAAAAAGTCAAACAGTTTGCCAACTCATCCGCGACTCCTCAAGCAAAGCTACCTGCTTCCTGTGGGCGTGGCGGTCGCGCTCGTTTGACGTCGCAGACTCCAACAGCTGATCCTCCTTCGTCACCTAAGGCGCCACGAGTTTACAACACAGCACGAGTTTCACAGACCTGTTTCACCTTGTTATGAACTCAGCGGGACACGAAGACAGCAGCAGAAGTTACCGTAGCGCTCCGAGATGCCAAAATATTGTTCGGTCCCAAACTGCAAGAATGACTCCGCGAGCGACAGCGACAGGAAAAGCTTCTACAGGTGAGCAGGTGTTTTAAAACGGTGTTAGCAGGCCAGCTAAACGCGATGCTCAGATGAGACAGGTAGAGGCGCAATCCAACTTCCAGCAACTTTTTCCTGTTCGACGGGTTAGTCTCACAATCTCGTTTTTACTGACGGAAAATAACAACCGAGGTTAGAAAATCTCCGCACAGGAGACGCTTTTTATACGTTTGATAAGTTTGTGTCTTCTACTTCTGACTTTGAAGAAGCCTTCATTTAATCAACACAGCACTTGACTTGATTTAAGCCAGGCCGTCAACACGGTGAAGTCTCGATTAAAGCAAACTTTGAATCAAGACATTTTTGTTTATATCAACGCTGTCTGATTTGTAGCTCTAAGGTAGTCTGGTGAGTAAGTTATATTGACAAGTTGTGCAGAAGAGCAGGCAGAAATAGTGATGTGTCATCCTTATCTTTAAGCTGATGCACTCCTAGAGCTGCAGAACCATTGCACGATATTGCAGCCAGTATCAACGATACTTTTAACTTATAAAGGCAGCTTATGTAGAGGACAGCAGTGGATCAACATGCTTAATCTGAATACTTTGACAGCTAATTTTATTTATTTATTTTTACACCTTATATTTGTAATTAAGTAGTTGAGTTAAAACACATGTCTGTGAAGGTTCTCAGTCATCCAGGTCATCGTAGTCTAAAGGAGCTTGGAAAGAAAAAAGTCCGGACTTCTTTGAGTTGCTTCAGTTCAGAACCGAAGAAGCTTCTCGGATGAGAATTGAAACGTCTTCAAGCAGCTCAAAGAAGTCCAGACTAAAAGAAAAGAAGCCCTTTAGACTAAAAACACACATCTCAAAATGCTTCACCTGTTTTGAAACATTTTATTTTATTCTGGAGAGTTTGAATGTGCCTGCTTGGAAAGCACTTTGTGTTGGTTTCTACTGTGCTGTATATGTGAATAATGCCTTGACAGTTGACACAAACGGTATTACTACGTTATTATCGTAGTTAGTTCATACTTCATTTGTTAAGTTCCAATAAAGTATTTCATATATATCATTGCCATGGTAATCAGTCTTCTGGTAACATCTGTGATGACCAAGAAAACTTTGAAAAATATCTGACACAAAGATACTGAAACATCACTTTTACCACACCATGATGATGTTCGTCTGGGTCTTTATTAATTCCTACACGGATATTTGCAGTATATTTAGTTACAGCCATAAAATACCTCCACAGAATGCTCCTCTGCCTCACTCACTACAGCCTACACGTGTCTACTCAGTCTGGGTCACGTGACTTTACAATAACAAAACATGGTAGCAGGAGGGGGGAGGGGCAACATGTGCTGGCATGTCTGTTAAAGTATCAATCTGCCCACTGCTAGATTGTGTAAGTCGCTATAGCATGCAAGTAATTTACAATGAATTCAAAAGATGAAACATCCTACGAATAAAATAAACTTTTCAGCAATAATAAGAGTACCTCAAGAATATTGCCTAACACCTTGGCTGTTTTGGGGGATTTATTATTATTTTTTTGTTGTTGTTGTTTTTGGCTGTGTAATTTCAGTATCAGTTAATGTCTAAAAGAACATGCAACAACTTCACAGATTTCACAACTTTACAACAGGTTCACAGGTTCAGAACAAAAGTAAATATGAACACAGTTACACTAGCTGCAAGCTGCTGCAAGATGTAGTTGGTCAGAGCAAGCCAAAATGTGATGAGTCCACAGAGTCAGTCAGTTACCTGATCAGATCATATCTGATGCACTGATTTGCACTGTCCAATCACTGACACACACACAATGTAAACTGAGTTTTAGGAAGCTATTTTCTAGTTGCACATTAATATGAACAATTTCACTTGAAGGAAGCGTGATCAGTGTTTTACGTGTGTAATTTTCATTGTTTTCTAGGTTCCCTCTTCAGGACCCAGTCAGGCTGCAGCAGTGGCTGAGAAACATGGGACGTGAGAACTGGGCTCCCTCTCGGCACCAGTATATTTGCCACGAACATTTTGCACCTTCGTGCTTCAAAGTGCGATGGGGGATCCGTTACCTTGAGAGAGACGCTGTGCCCACTGTGTTTCAGGAGGCTGAGGTAAAGCAAAAAGAAACTAAACTTGATTTTTAGTGTTGCAAAGGAGCGCCAATTATTTTACTGAATGCTGAGGTCTTGTTTTAAAACACAGGAAAGTTTAATTCTCCTACCTGGATTTTAGTTTAAGCATTTTACCTTAGTTCATAAGGCTCGAGAGCAACTCTTGCAGTATTTTAAGTAGTAATAGTGTTATTGTAATTGTGGAGATTCTATGCTAGAGTCACACAGAATTTGTTTTTTCTTGAACAAAACTAACCAGAATCATACAGAATGCTAATACAGAAGTTTTTGTTGCGTACCAGGATATACAATAACAAATACATTATTTTATAGCTTATATCTTAACATGGAGAGTTAAGATAAAACCTTGTTTTATGCTTTTTGATTTATCTTTTTAGAAACGGAAAGCCACAGACGATGGCGAGAAGAAAACAAAGCGTCTTCGAACTATCTGTAATCCAAGCGTATCGGTATCAGATGACAAGACCATGGTTTTTGACACAGCAGACATGCAAAACAAAGTGCACACTGTGCACCTGTATCAGATTGCTGTCGACCCATCGCAACAAGAAGAAACCAGCTTGGTGCAACTGAGTGATGTTGGAGAATCTGACTGCTCTTTTGAGCCAGAACTAGACTCACTGGCAACAGTAGACAGATTAGAAACGGGGGTAAACTTCCCTTTAACTGTTTTACACACAATAGATCATCTAAGTAACAGTGGGGAGAAGACAGAGGTTGTACTTATGTCTGAATGTCCTGCTGGGGAAGGGCAAGATGAGCTTATGAATGAAATAACTGCGGCCATTTTAACTCAGGGACACAGGCTGGTAGTGAATGACTCCACCCTTGAGTGCACAGATGAGGCTGTGGCTTTAAGTGGAGTTGAAGATGTGACACATACCACAGAGTTGTTCTCAGATGGCGACGACGGCAACCATGAAACTCAAGTCATTGCCTACTTCGAGACGATACCGAATGTTTTGCCCAAAGACACCTTTACCCAGTTTACCTTTTCACCAGAAACGGTACTATCATCGGCTCTGAGCTCCACACCCATCACATCCACTCTGCCTATAGTGTCCAAACACGCAGCACCTCCCCCCACATCCCTGGTCCTCACTTTGGAAAGACTGGATTCTGAAGGAGGAGAGGGAGATGAAGGCAAGTCGGAGGACGACGATACAGAGCAAGATTACCAGCTCGAGGAGCACTGGTGAGTTCTGATGCTTAATTTAAATTTCTTTTTTTTCATTCAATGAAAGAGTCTTTCTTATATCCCTTTGCAGTATTATGGTTTTTAGACTCTATTTTTATTACATCACCAGCTACCACAAGAACAGTTTGAGTAAGGAGCAGCTGGAGGGAATTGTGTGTGAGCTACAGAAAAAGGTCAAAGTGCTGCAGCAGCGGCACCGAAGACACCTGGAAAAACTCGTTGGACTGGAGAACACGGTCAGCCAGCTGAGACAAAGCAATCTGCTGAATGAAGAGCGACTGCAGTTACTTGAGAGGGTATTTATTGGAATGAAGTTCAGACTGGCAGCTGTAGCTGTCTTCCAATATATCACTTGAAGTCATTTAAGTTTTCATTTAACTGAAATAATTTTTTGTCTCTTTGTTTCTCAGGCGTACATGCAGACCAACGGAGCAGTGTCTGATGCTGGTGAGACGGTCACCATCATCTATGAGGAGGACGATGCTGCTTATTTGTATACACCACTGATAGATACAGAGGCAAAGCTGTGAGGCCTGACTGACTGCGGATATCCCATCTCTGCGTCTGTGCCAAATAAATAAATAAATGAAAGAATAATGGAGCTTAAGCTGTTGAAAACAAAACGCTACAAAATTTTGTTCTTTTCAATTTTGTCTCTAATCCAGAAAAAAATATATGAAATGTGACTGTGGGTTAGTCCATCTGCTGTGAACTTTCAACAAATACAGATAAATAGTGGGACAGTGTGGTTTGTGGTAATGTACATATAATTAAAGTAACTTCAGTTTGGGTTCCCGTTTGTGTAGTTTTTATGAATCCACATATTTATTAAAAAAAAAACAGATTATTCAACCACGGAAGTGCATCTCATGAGAAGGAGTTGGATATAATTATCACTGACGGCACTGAAAGGCAGGCTGAAACAAAACAAATGAGTCAACACAGAACACACCCTGTTTTCTGAATTGCAGTTTTGATTCTTGGAAGTTCACTCTCATTTTCCATTACACTGAGAACACCATGTAGTGATTTGATCTAAAAGGCATTTCTTATATATTTATGTGTAAATATGTGCCTGCTTGTCTCCTCCTACCTTTGTCCCAGAGATTAAAGTCGCTACGCTTTATTGAAGGATGCCCCAAATCCCACTTCATTTCAAGTGTCTTTGTCTAAAAGAACTGATAGAGAGCCCCAGGTATTTAACTAGTTTGTTTTCCCCTTGGTGGTGGTCCTGACTGTTGTTGACCCACTCTGAGCTCACATGTGTTGTCACATGAGGCAAAGTGTGACACAAGGCGTGGGTCATTATGTCAGAGGAGCCATCGTGCGACTCCTTTGGTTGACATTTCCTCGTCATGTGAGTCTCAGAAGTCAAAATTATAGTGGGGTTTTAATCCCCTTGGAAGGGTTCTGAAGATTGCATTGTAAGTGGCTGACAGCTGGTGTCGTTAACCATCACTTCTTTTTGAAAATGGTCGTCCTTTCACTCCTTGGTTCAATAAGCACATCACTCAAGACTCTACAACTAGTCTTTTTATTATTCATGTTATTTCAGTTACAATCACTGTATGTTTGTGACATTTGAATATAAACAGTATATCTAGTAAAACTATATTATTAAAAGTAAATCGATAAGAAAAGTCACGAACACTATTACATCTTATATCATAAAACACAGCAGTAGTTGGACTAAAACAAAAAGTATATATTTAGGCCAAATGTCACATTTAACTGACCTTTCAAAATCTGTCTTTTAGACAACGACAATTTAAATGTACATTACCTCACCTACTCCCCTTTTTTTGAAGGGGAGCTAACATTTTTTCCCACATTTGCTTTACTAGTATTTAAAAAGAGAACATAAGTAGTTTTTGTTTTGTTTTTTCCCCTATGGAAATGAACATAATGCTAATGGAGAATCTATGCTATAACTTTGTTCAATAAAACCTGTAGCAAATTATGTATATGATGTAGAGTTGAGACATTACTCAACAGTAGAACTGCCAGCAAAATAAGCAGTTCATTAAACCTTCTGCATGATTTCATAGGAGTGTGAAATTCTCCCTTTTACAGTGTGTTTTCTGTTTCTGTCACTAGATGGTGGCAGTGCCAGTAAAACCTAGTTTTACACACATTTACAGTGACAGATTATTTTTTGAAAGAGGGATTTAACACAGTCAAAGTGGTTCAAATAAGACCAACACATCACATTGCTTTTTTAAATAAATGACTACAAACAAGTTTTACCTTCATTACAAGTGTAATATTTTTATGCAATTAGTCTTGTTCTGAGTATTCATTTTTTGCTTAATTGCTCTCATTTATCAGTTGCATTATAAAAGTGGAAATGAATGTCTAAATATGTTCTGTGGGGAATTGAATGAGCTATTATAATAACTTGCAAAAGTACCTTGGATGGCTGCATGGAGAATTAAGATCCAACCGTGCACAGTAAGATAGATAATATTGTTAATTGAAAAAAATTCACATCCGCTTGAATAGCAAAAGAAATAAAATAGTTATTTCCTCTGTGTGAATAAAATGAGAACTGCTTTTTTATGCTGCAGGATATGACCCTTTAATTGTCCACAAAGTGACAATGTCACTGTTTTATTTTATGTTTAATCAAGTGCTCAGAGAAGGGAGTCATACTTGAGATTCACTCTGTTGCCTTGAAGAAATACAGAGCAGTCAAAAAAAATGCCTGATGCCTAAATACAGATCCACCTACAGAGGATAACATAATGTAACCCTCTGATTGTGAAAGCCATTTGTGCTGTGAAATCTTGACCTTAGTCAAAGAGTGTCTTGATTGGACATGCTAATTACTTATAGTTTCAAATTATTTAAGAAATATTAAGACCATTTTGAATTTTTTAGCAATACATTTCATATAATTTCTCATCATCCTCTCCTCTATCCTTAGTATGAGCAGCGACATGCCAGGAAGTTTTCACCTATTTGTCTCCCATCTTGTCTTGGTGGTAGGCGTAGCAGTCAGTAGTGGGAACCTGAGGGTGAGGAGCTGGTGAAAGAGAGGTGTGGGGCATAGGAGAGAGGTGGCTGACCTCTGGGCAGCCGTCAGGTAGCTTGTAAAGAGACAGATGGTGACACTGGGAAGATGGAGGCATGCTGACAGGAGTCTGCATAAAAATGTAAACACAACTATAAGCACAAAAAGGAAGAAACCATTTTAATTAATTTTATTTCACTGAGCCAGTGAACAAGTATCGTGCTGATTAATAGCTTACAAATGGGCACATAATCAAAATGTGTGGCCTTGGGAAAGGACTAGGCTAATATTTATATTACAGCACGTATTATTTTCAAATATTAGCTGATAATCACATTTGAAGAAACATCAGTTTTATTAAAATTTCTAGAAACTTACCAGCACAGTGTGAAGGTACAGGCAAGCCCCTAATCAAAGGATAACTAGCTACCTTCTCTTACAAAACAGAAATTCCTATATAAATTATATGTTTTTTGTTCTGCCTGTTTTATTAGCCTTTATGCAAGTTTTCAGTTTCTCTTTAATGCACAAATTATATAAATAACACAGCAAAAACCACTGTAAAATAAGTTTTTTTTACATTATTATTATTATTATTATTATTATTATTTATTTTATTTTTTTTACAGCATGTTATTGGCACTGGTTGCCACTGGACCCAGGTCAAAATTGATCCTTTATCTGAGGGCTGGCAAACTTTAAATTGAGGCAGTGGCAATATAGAAAGCTTTCAGTGACAGTAGGAGAGACCTTATTTCCCTAAGGGGACCCCTGACTCCACTCACTGCAGAGGCAAGTAACATGCATGATCCTATTTAAACAAACCTAAGAGCAACAATAGAAGCCACAAAAAGCACAACCAACTAAAGCAAGATGGCGGTGAGAAGAGGGGAAATAACGATTAAATATGATGCTGATTAGCTAAATGCTGGTTGCTTCCTGTGTGCACTGTATTGACACCCACCTGCAGTGTGTTACTGTCACTATTTCTCAGTTCATCTAGGTAAGTCAACCACAGCTTCAGCCTCTGCCATGTAGCCTTTATTTCTGCTTGCACCTGTAAGAAAGGGGAGGAAAAGAAGCTTGAAATAGGATAATAACGAGAACTGAATTTGGAAACTTGACTTAGAAACTGGGTTAACGACTAAGAAAAGGAAGAGGCTAAACATTGCAAAGAGTGTTTGCAAGTAAGGGAAATATCTCAAATGCAAAAGCTAAAATCTGCAAAAAATGAGTAACACATCCTCTGCTGAACATGAAAAACATTTACATTGTCTTAATTCATAAACTGTAGAACATATGAACGACATCAAGATCAAGAGGGCCTGCACCTTTTTTAGTGTCACCTAGTCCCTTTTCACTCCAGATGGGCATTACATTGACTTACATGAATTTCTCGGCTGTCCATTCAATTCAGCTAACTATAACCTGTACGCTGACCTTAAACAAGCCCCACTCTAACCTTAAACTGAGGCTTCATTCAAAAATGTAATGATTAATATTATGAGAAGTTTGTTTTGTCCACCACATCACATGCTACATACCTCCTTGTTGACAAAACAGTACAGGACGGCAACAAGTAAACCCTGTGAAGAGTTTGTATTAGAGGTCATTTAGTAGTGTTTTGCTACTTTTATCTGCAAATTATTATGATGGTAAATATTATCAAGCTAGGTGCAGATTCTTGATTATACCTGAAAAGAGTTCAAGAAGAGCTGGAAGAAGAGGTTGATATTGTGAAAGACTCCATCTGTTTGCACATTCGTCAACACCGCAAACACAACTTCATGGATCCCCAGCAGAGGGATCAGGGTCAATGTGGATTTGGCCAGTCTGGAGAGAAACATGAGAATTAAATGTTCCCTGGTGTTTACTTGTTAAACTGTTATTAAACTCGTAGGCAAAGGTTATGTCAAGCGATATAACAGAGTTCCCTCACTTGTCTTCTCTTAATTACTGTCTGTATATGTGTGAGTTTTGATCTTTACACTTACACACAAGATTCTTACAAAAAAGTCTATCAATTAGTTAATTCATGTTTTATTTTCACCTGATTTTTGTAGTTGCTAAGCAAAAACGAAAGGAAAAAAAAACTAAAATTAAACTAAATTAAAGATAGGTGAGCAAATTAGGTCAAACATTAGATAATTATGTCAAGACAACAAGGAGATGAAAGCACCTCCACTCATCTTAGTGCTAATAAAAAAATCTCACTATATATAATGCAGTTCTCAAATCAGTAACGCTTTTCCTCACCCACATTAGACATTCCAGGTGTTTTTACACACAATGCTATGGTTACTACACATACTTCACTACTAAAGATATTTGTTACTGTGTTGAGGCACTTCTAATTTGAATCTAAAAAACTCATCAGCACACTCTCTCTCTGGAGCTCTCACTTCTCTGGATACTGTATTAGTATTTCCAGTCAAGTTACTTCAAGTTTTGTTCAAATATTTATACTGTCAGAAGTTTACACACTCTCACAGGTTTACTTGGAACACATAGAAATACATACTGTCAGTCTGTGTCACAGGTGCATGTGACAACACAGTAATTACACTCATTTCACTGACTATTCATGTTTTGACATATTTTAAAAAGGTTTTGATTGTAGGAGTCTTTCGTGTTATGAAAAATGCCAGAATGACTTTTTCTGCTGTGAGAATTGCGGCGATCGAGAAAAACCGTATCTTTTGTCATTGTCAGTGTTCATTACTTTGTTGTTATCTACATACCTGAATTTATAGTCAGTATATCTCATCTGATGGGCTTTCAGTTTAGATATAAGGATCAGAATGATGCGAATAAAGATGAAGAAGTTAACCTGAAAAGATAAGAGAAACAGACTCATTAGTATATTTATTTTGTAATTATTATTTTAGTCATTTTAGTTTTAATTTGAAAGCTGGAGGTGATATGTAGGCGACTATGATGTACAGACTGCCCCGCCCCCTGTAGGTCACAGGGCTGTTTATGGTCACATAACTCACACATGATTGTTCATACTGACAAATTTACTTTATAACCTTTATATTTGTGTCTATTACCATTATGGCCAGGAGAATAGGGATACGGATTATACACCAGTAAGCCATGTTTTCATTTATTTCCCAACACCTGAAAAACACAGACATTGCATGAAGATGATAAGCAGTTTTTATTTACTGAAGTGCTCCATTCTTACTTCATGCATTGTAATAACATATGCATTATGTATATATTACCATTACATCAACACTTTTTTTTTATCACGGTAAAAGCATGGAGAATTACTACAGAACAAAATGGTGTTAAAACTACTGCATACATATACTAAAGCTATGATGTAGAGTGTAGTTAAGAGATTAAAGAAGAGACGAGAAAAGAATACAAATAAGTACAAGGCAGCACAAAGTCAGCAAAATAATTATTAAAGAAGTCAGACTAAAAGTTCACCTTGTGTCTTCATACATGTAACGTACAAGAATCCAGGGAAAGACAAATAACACTGGGGTGCCTGAAACAACAACAGTTCAGGTAAGCAGAGAAAATTCAGGATTGTGAGATTGACCTAACCAATTTTGCCATAATGTGAGCCAAGCCTTTAACTACTTCATTTCCTTTGTGTTGTATGTAGCTACTTTTGTCTGGTGTCCTTGGCTTACCCCAGCCTATCAACAGATATCCACCAAAAAAGCAGTTTTCAGAGAAAGCCATCAGTGCCAGCAAGTTGTGCAGATACAGGCCTTCCACGAGAAGCCAGTAGTAGTTGGCTCCCACACAGTAATGCATCAGCACTTGAGCCACAAGACAGCTGGACAATGCCTAATATTTAAGTGTGTTTTTAGGAGGAGATACAAAAAAGTAGAATTAAGAAATATCCGTCATTTCTAACAGTTATGAATCTTCAGAGTCCCTGGCTATACTTAAGTCTATATGAGGAAATAAAAAAAACTGCCCGGGTAATGAACACTTTTATTTTATAATGTAACAATTTATAAAGTCAAATTAATAACTAATTATCACTTAGTATTACTATATGTTATCTCGCATGAATGATGAAGCGGTCCAAGGAAGGGGTGTTAAATATATTCAACTATGTCATCTGTGAAATGACACATATATTAGTATCACTGAAATAATACAAGTTTTTATGCTTATAACCTGGTTACTGTTCACTTCAAAGATTTCCCTGTTGTCTGCGAACTCCAGGTAGGTTTTACCCAATAGAGCATCTTTAGTCAGGATGGAGAGAGCTCGCAGAATGAACGACGCAAACAAGTTGCTGTGGATGTAGTTTCTGGTACAGTGGAGCTTACTGCAAGTTTCACAAAGGTTAAATAATGTTAAAAACATAATAATCACAAAACAAAGTCAGCCTGCTAAACATGTGGCTCATAGAGAGTGAGATTGATTTCACTTTTTGTTTCTAATTTTTGTAACAAAAGAGCTTATAGCTGCAGTGCTAAGGCTTGTGTAATTTCCCCATGTTTCATGGATTATTGTTGTTATGGTATTTGCACTTGCAAGAGCTTCACAGCTCTAGTTAAGAAAAGTTGGTTTTGAGAAGAAAGTCTGCTTAAATGCTACTTGGAGAAATGTTAGAGTATGAGACAGATTACCTACCTGAAAAAGAGAAGAATAATCAGAGCCACACAGAGACTGACCATACTGAGAGAGTAGCCCACTGTGTACATGACCCGAAAGCAGGCATAAATAATAATTTGCTTCTCCTACACAGAATAAAACAAAAAGACAAGGGTGGGTTATTACTGTGAGGCCACTAAATATGAACCTACGTAACTTCCTTTTACTAAATCCTAATTGTTTTAAAATCTGTTATTCAGAATAGTTGTGCACTTTCAAATGGAAAAATAAAGCATTGATTCTACTGATTTTGCAGTTTCACACTTTTTAAATTAATTTTAAATCAATTCTACTTTGGTGACAGTTTTCTGATTAATTATTTTCTGACCAATTTCCCCATATGCTCCTGGCATACCTCCTCCTGTTGGCTGTCCTCAGGTTGGCACTGAGAATGATCCCTCCAGGTTTGACTGGAGTTTCTGGTGGCCCATTTGCCATCAGGGCCACACTCACGCAACACAAAGCCACTACGCACTACAGGAAAACAGAAAAGAGGCTAAAACACATGCCTGTGATTAAAACAATGCTTTTATCTGTGTGTATATAGCCTGTTGCTATGTCCATGTGTTTTTGGGTAGCGATATTTTTTTTAATCATTTATTATCTGTACATCACTACAGCAGATTTTAAAATCAAATATTTAACATGGGTTTAAAATACAGTCACTTATTTGGACATTGGACAGAAGTATTGTTTTGAATATTTGGATAAGTATTCATATTCATGTAGTCATTTAAGTCACTGAAGTCTAGAACCCATGGACATGCCCAAATAGTGGATTTTGTTTCTTGAAATGCTCTGCCAGATTTTTACTGCAGCCATCTTCAGTTGCTGCCTGTTTTCAGGTCTTTTTGCATTCAGTTTTTTACTGAATAACGGAAAAGCTGCTTTGCTCTGGTGGGTTTAGTTGAGGCGATTGACTTGAAGAATATCCCATTTCTTTGTTTTGAGAAGCTCTTGGGTTGCTTTTAAAGCATATTTTAGATCACTAACCATTTGCACTGTGAAGTACGGCCCCATCAGTTTTGCAGAAATTGTCTGAATAGCAATGACTGTGAGCAAATAGAATAGCCCTGTACACTTCAGAATTATCCCTGCTTCTTCTAAGAGCAGTCACCACCATTTTATCAGTAATCAGCAGTTATCAGTAACCACCAGTGACCCGGTTCTAGTGGCAGCCATACATGCCCATGCCATAACGTTATGTCCTCCATATTTGACAGATAATGCAGTATGCTTTGAACTGTTTCTGTTTTCCCATCATTCTGGTACAAATTAATCTTGGTTTAATCTCTCCAAATATCAATGGTTTTCCAAAACTGTGCCGGCTCTTTCATGTGTATCAGTTTGTATCAGAAGGTGTCTCTTAATTGTAGACTTTTACAATGGTACCTAATCTGCATTCATCCAGCTTAGTTATGCTCTGTGGTCTTTCTGACCTTTTAATGTTGTTGAGTTCTATACTGTGTTCCTTCTTTTGGCACACTTAAAGTTTTGCTGTCTTTCTTATAGGTTTATTTTGGGTTTTTTATTTTTTATTTTGTCATAATGATGGCCACCATGTCTGTGTGGGTTCTCTATCTACTGTAGGTCGCCTACACCTTCATCTCTTTGGACCTCATATTGAGAATTGTAATGAACAGTTATCAAATACAAGTTCAATACTTAAAATCAACAATCTTTTATCGGCTTAAATTATCCCATCATAACAAGGGAACAGCTCTCACATGGCCATGAAAGTGTTTGTCAGTCCAATTATTTTTTGAGCTTCTGAATGGCTGTAATTCCAAAACAGTTAATAAAGTTTTTTATTAAGCCATTTGAATTGAATCGCTAAAAGCTAAAGGTTTACAAGTCACATAGTCACATCTGAGTTGTTTCATTTAAAACTCATTGTTGTGGTGTGCTGGGAAAAAATGCAGGAAAATGTGTAATTGTAAAAAAAACCAAACCTTTACCTAAATGTATCTATATATGTGTGTTTGCAACCTGGTACCTACCTTGGTTGTACCAAGGTAGGTACCAGGGGCAGGGCACCTTGACTGTAGAGTTGGGTTGTCCATCTGACCAACAAGCATATTCGTCAAACATACGACTGCATACCAATTCTGGAGACAGAACAAGAATGAATGAATTGTGTTTTATAATCAGTCGGTGAGATGGATGAATGTTCTATAAAACTTTCACCATGTTTGCACATTTATTCTAAATTAAATGATTTAATCTTAAATTAATGGATTATATTTAAGCGTTAAATCTAATTAATGTATGTTTTAGCATTAATATGATTATTGAGCATATGTGTGGATTACCGTCTGGCCCGGGTTCTGCGCTCATCCTGACCAGACACTCATTTCTGTAGCGGATCCATTCTGCCACCATATCTTCAACAGTCCTCGCTGATATACTCTACACACACACATACACACAAATGACCTGAAATGATCATTTATAGCCACTAAATACTAAACCCAACCTGTACCCTCAGTCAGACCCAACCACTTAAGCCTAATACCAATTTTAACCCTTAAACCAGGTCTAAACCCACAAACACCTCTTTGAATGTGGAATGTGAAAATGAGGACTAACAGAAATGTCCTTTTGGTTTCAAATTGGTACATTAAGATACAAAAGTGAACATATGACAATATTTTAGCTTTACATTAGTCAACACTTGCATTTAAATTACATGACGATAAAGGACAAGTTCTGTGGCTTACAAATGACTGAGATTTAAAATCATCTATATACTTTTTTCCTTTGCATGCTTTTCTTTTATAGACTTTTAACATTATTATGGATACTCTTAGACCAATGCTTACTATCTGTTCACAATCTATATTCATTCTGGTAATCCCCACTAGGGCTTTTTGCAAAGAGTGCCTAATAAACTGGCATTTCACTGGATGTTGTACAGCTGCAGTTCTACAGCTACAGAGCTTTTTTTTCAAGTATCAGGTATCGTTTGGTCATTGCTGGCACAATAAAATACTTTACCACAGTCCTGTCGAGTAGAAAGAGGATGATGAATATGTAAGAAGCCTTCATCATTCAGAGGTGCACCAGGCTGGCCATGCATAGGTCATCACAAAGCTACAGAAGGTCACTCAGAGGTCATTAGTGAGTAAACAAAGATTAAATCAGGATGTGGTGTAACATATTCTATTCTCTACCTGTAAATACAGAGAAAACAGTTTGACCCCATGAATGATTTTAAATGAATTTCTATTTGATCTGCATCCAAAAATCGAAAAAGTGGAAGCAGCATGCAAAGACTAACAAGAACTAAAAATGAAAGTGATTTCCATTTACTCCATGCTCTTACACCGTAACCAGCTGTGGACAATTTCACAGCAAAATAGAAAAAAACTGTGGTGATCAACCCCACTGACAGACATATTAGTGGAGCTCTGCCTTGCTGTGGCACAAATGCATAGTTGTGCTTTCATTTATATTTATAGAGTTTTTAACTATGACAATAACTTGTCATCATGTAATTTCAGCTGTGGGAATTTGCTGTTCTTCTTCATTAATGAGATGAGCCTCCATAAAGTGACTCTGTAAACACATTAAGATCCCCAAAGCATCAGAAATACCCACACAACTACACATGAGCCCGCATAATGCTGCACCCAACAGGTTTTAGTTTATGTAACAGGACTAGCAGGCTTTTGCTTGCTCTCTCTCTCTCACTGCACACATGATGAAACACACACAGTTGTGTTCAAAAGCTCATATACACTCATCATGCATATCATGGTCATTTTAGGCTTTTAATAATTTCTTTGAACTGTTCCTTTTGGAACGATTGTACACCATACATTTCTAATGACTTAAAAAACAAGAATTGGTTGCTTAAGTTTATTTATTTTAGATTTTCTCCAATCCACATAGACAAAAGTATCAATACACCCACTAATAATATTTGGTTAAACATCCCTTACAAAGTTGCATCTAAACCATATGGTTTTGGTTGCCTTCAAGACGCTTCTGACATAATTCTGTCTAAATATTTGACCACTCTTCTTTGCAGAGTTCATTTAAATTGAATGATTTCCTAACCTCTAGCAGCCTTTAAGTACAGTCAACAAATTTTAAATATTGTTGAGGTTGGAGCTTTGGGAAGACTGGTGCAAAAATTTCATGTTAAACCACTTTATCCATTCCAACACCAGTTTTGATGTGTGTTTGGGATCATTGTCCCATTGGAACATTCAGTTGTGTCAAAGTTTTGACTTTCTGGCTGCTGATTTGAGGTGAAGCTGAAGAATTTGGGGGTAGTTCTCCTTCTTTATTATTCAACCACTTTTTGGATTGTACCAACATCGTGCTTGATAGCTGATGCAGTGTTCTTAGGTTTGAAGAGCTCACCCCTACTCCTATAAAAATACCTCTAGTCATTTTTAGGAAATCGCTCAATCTTTGTCTGTCATGCTGGTGTTCCAGGAGTTTTGAGTTGTTCCTGAACATCCTAACCAATTTGGACTCATCTGAGGGTGACAGTTTGGGTTTTTTCCAGACCTTTACAGGAAAGAGGTGACACATCCAATAAAACTGATGATCCTGGATTCTGCAGGAAACCAACTGATTTGAAGGAACCCTACGAATTCTTTCAAGAGGACCTGAGGAATATCCAGCCAAGGTCCCTATGCTGTTACTGTGAACTGAAACAATAGTCTTAATAATATTTTATGTCATTACTGTGGCAAAAAGATTTTAAACTATCACCATATAAAAATACTATTAATTCTTAATTGGTGAACTTGTCTGCATTCATTTGTTATTTTATATGACTCTAAGGCTGAGAGATCATTGGAGAATTTAATGAACTATTATTGTCTTTTTTGATATTACTCCAACTCCTCTCCATGGAGGTCAGAGGTCAGGAACTCAGTGTGCTTATCGGTTTCTACAACCATTAGACTGATTAGAATCAACTTTAGAAGGAGAAATTTTGCGAAAACAAATCAACACAGGATCTGTGGACATAAGCCAACATAAGGCTGTTGGTTATGGAAACACTCACACAACACTCTGAAATAATTTTGTCATTTGACATTGCCATGACGATTATAATTAAGGCTTGATAATTATTAGGAGCTACCTATTAAACAAAGAAATATGACGCAGTCCCTCCTGCCCCCCTCCCAAAAAAAAAGAATAAAACGCAAGGCACAAGTTGTCTTGTGTAAACGCAATTGAAAAGTCGAAACATACCTCACCTCTGGGAAAATCACGTTTCTCCGTCAAAGAGACGAATGTTGAACAGGTCTAAATCAGTCAGCGGGAACTGTTCCTTGAAGCAGAAATCATATTATGCCAGTGTTTATATCCAATCAGCGCACACACAACCTCCCTCTGACTGCCAGCAAATCCCACCTTTCTCTCTGCCTCTCTCTGTATCTCTCTCTCTCTGTTTCTTAACCTTCGGTAATTTGTATCCTACCAACCTCGGAGGAGAGATTGGGATCACTAGCAAACCCCCAGAATGAATGTTAGAAACTATGAATACATCCATTGCCTTAACTGCCTTTCCAATAGCCAAAGGGGGCTGGAGGCTATCACACGTGTTGTCATCAAGGGGTTGCTTGATTCTGGTTTTATTTAGTTATTGTTAATTTCAAGTAAATATTACTTAAACTATATTAATTAACACTGTACTATATTAAATTGTGTACTTACCCTGTGAGGTATATATTAAGTGTTATATTAAGTATACCTACTCCTGCCAAAACATCTGAAGAAAAATATTTAAACCTAAAAGATAAAGAGAGATAAACTGTTTATTACTCTAATGCAGGGTAATGTGGCGTGATAGTCTAGCTGTCACTGTAAAAAAAAAAACCAACAACAACAACAACAAAAAAAAACAGGAAAGAAACATTTGTGGTTTTAACTATGGAAGTTGTAAAAAGAAAGGTACCATTTTTAGCTAGCTGGGGAAAGGTTTTGCACACAATGCCTAGCTTAATTTACAATTAAGAACATGTATTGAGATTATAGCAATTATTCGTTAACAGCAGCCACTAAGTAGTAGTACTATCAGCTCACGACACCCGTTCATTTCATGTTTTTGTGAGAAAACTCTACGGCAAATGCTTCTGTTGTTGGAATGAAGCTTGAATAGAAGTTGAAACTCATGTGTTTAATTTCCTGGGTTATCAAAGGTTGTGCATTAGGTCATAAATGCATGTACTGAAAATTAATCAATCACATCTCTGTGGGAAGTAGGAGTGCTGCAGCACCCCCTGTCACAAAATTCAGTCATGTCAGTTCCTGAAAAATACAAAAAAGTTGTTGAAACATTTTCAATTATCCAATAAGTTTATTGTATGTCTTGACTGCTGTGTCTTAAGAGGCCACTCAGTTAGAAGACTGTGTATACCTGACATTTTTGTCTTAAGTTTGAATTGTTTATTCTTGTCTGCTGTGTTCAGCGGAGTCAGAGACCGTCCACGGCTCTGCTGGGGCCTTTCTCAGATAGATAATTGAACTGCATTAAAAACTGCAGGCCACCTGGTTTTAACTGCACCACAGACAATCCAGTATAAGGTTTGAACATGGAAACATGGATGTTGTACAAAATACCTGTGGTGTTATAAAGATCAGCAAAAATGAAATGACTGATTTTACAATAAATCACTTTGATGTTTACTACATAAGAAACATTTAAACTGTGATAGCATTTTCTCGCAGAAACATTGTAACAACATGAAATAAATGGGTGCTGTGAGCTGATAGTGCTTTCAGGAAATGACTTCAAGTCTACAGTTGTGAAGGTGGATTATATGTGCAATGTCAACTATGTGCTGTATATTGTACATGAAGCAGTGTTCATTCACTATTGAAAATCTTATGCAAACAAAGCTCAAAGTCTCATAACTTCACACAGGTGCTTTCCATTGCTGGTGAAAACTGTATAATATATAGTTTGCATTTAACCTTTCTAATAGAAAACATTACTGTCAGGGCTGTGTGTGCGGGCAGGTGGAGATGTGGATCCAAATGCAGAACTCTGAGACGGAAATGTAACTGAAGACCACAGCTGGCACCAAACAAAAACAGAAACCAAACCATGAAACCGCAAACTGGAACACACAGGAATAAATCTGAGGGTGCGACACTAAGCAAGGGCAAACACAGGGCTAATATACACAGGAAAGTAATCAGGGAATGGAAGACAGGAGGGAGACACAGCTGGGAGAGATCAGGGCTGACGAGACAGGGGGAGCGAAGCTGGACGCACTGACATAAGATACAATTCTTCAAAATAAAACAGGAAACAATACACAAGGACGCAGACTAAGAAACACGGACTTTAAACGGGCAGAACTAAACCTAACCAGAATAAGCTGGAATATAGAACATCATCATCATCATCATCATCATCATCAAGAAGATAACCAAAAATACAAAATCAAACCAAAACATGAAAACTCAAAATACTGGGTCAAAACTGACCCAGAACCGTGACAATTACACAACATTTTCTGTTCAACTGGCATTTTTCTTGGATGCGATCCAACTAGGTCCTTCTTTGAAAAGGTATGGTCTTACTGGGGGACTTATAATTCTGGTATATTTTAATAGACTAAATAAAACATCTTAAAAGCGCTAACAGGCATCTATATGCTGCCATTTTTACACCTTGTATATCTTTACATTAAACTATAAGAATTGTGTATCTTACTTTATTACGTTTATTATGTGCATGCCTAAATTTTTTGACTGACTTACACAGTCTATTCATAATTACTGCACAGAATAAAACCAGGGGTGAGAATAGTGTACCAACTTTGAATTTTTTCTTAAATAAAGACAAATCTTGCTAATTTTATTTTCAACCACCAGAGGGCAGAATTCTATTTTTTTTCCCCCCTCTAGGTGTTTGTCCAGGACACACTTTTAAATGTGACAGATTTATTTTTGCAGTAATTTTACAGCGAGGAAGAACAAAAATGTAACCCTTCCATACAATTCAGGTCAAATTTATATAGAGTATAAATACTGTTTTGACAGGAAACTGCATTTCCCCAGATGCCCAGAGAGAAAGGCACCTGCAGGTCTTTGAAGGATCATGGGGGGAATCTCAACAGCATAAAGGGCCCCTCACATACAAAACTACAACAGCAAATCCATTATATCTGATGACTTGCCACTGCGTCAAGACAAGTGCAGCTCATAACAAGTATGCTGTGCTCTGGGGCACAATTTCTATGAAGCACATTTGCTCGAGCAATAGAAGGAGTTTGCGCATTTAGGACCATGAGGGCACAGAGCACAGCACACCCGCTTAACTTAGCTGTCAGTGTAGCCCGTATCACTTTCTTTGTGAAGAGGCCACAAATTTACTCACATGTGGTGCACATGCAGCTAAGAAATAGAGGTCATAAATATGTTAGACGGTGTCTTGACTGAGAAAACCTTGACACAGAGAGTAGAGCTACACCTGTAAGTACAAACACGTGCAATGTAACTAAATAATCTAAAAAACAAGAAAATTAAAAATATTTACTCTGAGGTAACTGAGATTAAATTACCTGAAAAATAACTGAGAGTAAAAAAAGAGACCAAAAGTGGTGTGGGGGATGGGGTCTTGCTGCTATAATGGTACCTAAACTGCCATTCTGCAGGATGTGGGAAACAAGTCCCACAAATGCAAGGATTCCCACTGATTTGACTAAAAGGACTACTTTAAAACAAGCACATTTTAAGTGTTAATTGCAATTGCATGAATTGTTATTGATAATTAGAGATATTATGATTTTTTATGATAAAGCAGTAAGGGCCTTGTTATCAGCTCTAATGGTTATATATGGTTATTATAACAAATCCCCCAAATTTCAGAATGTTCTTGCCATGTTTACTTAGTATTAGGCTATTTATACATTCTAAATAGAACTATAATTCAAAATTTGGTATAGACAGTTATTATCAAAACTAACCCGAACCATAAAGTGAAATATCAATATATAAGGAATTAATCTGTTGAGTCAAAGTCCCCTTTGAACTGTAAAACCAGGATCCTCAAATCTAACTGAGAAGAACTTAAGTCAATCTCCTGACTCACACAGAGAGTGTCAGATTTGTAGCAGTCTGTCTACTGACATGATATCACTCTTAAGTGCTTAGCTACTTGGTCTATGAATCAAAAAGACTCCCCATTTTCTCAGCCAATCAGCTCCATTCTTGTTGTGGTTGAGATTTTTTTTTTGCAACTACAACTGTTCTCCTCTGTCGTTATTCCACTACCACGCCAAACTGGCTTCAACCTGTTTTATTCTTCCAAAGAACTGAGGAGTGAGCAGTGCTTATCTCTGCTCTGCCTGAGGTTATCCTGGAATGTAAAAGGGAGGAATTCTCTTATCTGCTCCATTTCAAATCAACTTCACCAATGAACTAATAGGCTGAGATTCCAGTGAATTGTACCCTGTACCTTTATGCACAACCATCCACCCTCAACTTCGTTGGAACTTTCTTGGTCAAGATAAACCTCAGTATTACTTATAATCCCTTCAGAAATCCTGTGCAGCTATATGGACCTAAACCTCCTTTTTTCAGCTGTGTTCAACAAATAAAGCCAAGCAATCTATTTTTATAAAGCACTTTAAAAACAGCCAGTGCAGACCAATGTGCTGAAAATAGAATAAGAAAAAATATTAATATAAATAGTATAAATAAAAATACAACAACCGTAAATGATATAGAACACCAACATCAGAAAAACAATAAAATCCAAATAAAATGAACATTTCCATACTGGCTTCAAAGCCAAACTGAAAAAGCGGGCCTTCAAACCAGATTCAAAAATCTTGCGTCTTCGGCACATCCAACAACAACTGGTCAGCTGATCTAAGAGACCAAGAAAGGGTTTCCAGGTTCAGTAGCTCAAAGAGATAGAGTGAGGCGAGACCATTTAAGGCTTTAAAAACAAATAAAAGGACTAAAATGAATAGGCAGGTAGTGAGGGTAAAACGGGAGTAATATGCTTTGTGCACCAGTTAAAAGCTGTGCGGCAGCATTTTGCACCTGCTGAAGACCCAACAAGGATGACGGGCTAATACCAAGGAGTTACAGTAATCCAGCGGAGTTGTAATAAAAGCATGGATTACTGTTCTGAAATCATCTTTTGACAAGATAGGTTTAATTTTGGCCAGTTGCCTCAGCTGATAAAAGCTGGATTTCACTACTACTCTCACTTGACTGTCAAGCTCAATATCTATTTTAAAACCCACATTGGTGATAGTGGGCTTTTCATGCTGTGCTAGAGGGTTCATGTCCACAAATTGCTCTCCCTGTCACTCACCTTGGTGGCCTCCTCCATTTGTTGCAGAGTCGATCATGAGTTTTCTTATTTTGAATAAGGTACCCTCGTTTCCAGCAGCTTTTATGAGTTTCATTCCACAAGACCTTTCATATATTATTATTATCATTATAGTGCAAATATGTAGGTCCTGCTGTGGGATCTACATGCTGTAGGCCTTTGTTATATGACAGTGAAACAATCACACTAATGGCAGATTGTTATTATGAGGCATCAAAGTTAAATTATCTTGAGAAAAAAAAGACTACAACATACAGTAATCACATTACACGTCATAGATCAGGGGTTGGAATTTTTAGTACAGCATGTTTTTTGGTTTGATAATGATTTATGTGTGAGGTTTGTTTCTTTTGGAATATTGGTCTGTATTTAGTTTACTTTTAATCAACATATTGTTTTTATTCAGTTGTGTTTAAAAGTCTTCTGTAAAGCTATATACTGTGACTTTCTGGAGGTATTAAGTTCCCCTTTGTCTGATTTTGGTTCCCGTCTCATTTCTGTGTTGTGCTTTGTCTTTCAGTGTCCCTTTGTGTCAAGTTAAGCTTTTTTCCTCATTCAGTGGTTAGAATGAGGAAACAGGTTTTACCTTGGTAATTTTGATCCCTTTTGTCTTGTGTTGAGTCGACTCTGTCTTGTTATGTTAATTGTCTGCAGCTGAGTTCCCCACCTATTTCCACTTCCATCAATACCTCTAATGTATATATTGTCGCTGTTTTTTTTTGTTAAATGTTGAGTTGTCCTCATAGCTGTATGCGCTCTAGCTCTGTGTTCTCTATGTTCCTAGTGGTTTCTGTCATTTTGGATTGGATTTGCTCCTTGTAACTTTTGGACTTTTTTTTTTTTACTCCTTGAACTTACCAGCATTTAAGGCTTGGTTTATGGTTTTATTTTGATATCCTGGATTCTGCTATAGGTCCCAAAATAAACACTCTAAACTCCACACAGTGCAATCATAACACAGCAAGACAATTATGACACTATTCTTGAACTTTAGATAGATCTGATAGCATCAAAAAAGTGCCACATGAATGTGCAGACACAAAGTTATTCAAACCCGATTCTGCATTCTGCTAGCTTTACTTCAACTTACACAAGAGTGGTTCAAATATCTTTGTTAAATTATATGAATAGGATTTCCCTCAACTTAAACAAAGTGTGAAACTTTGGGATTTATTTGGGGTCATTTTCCTGTTGGCAGTTCTGTCAAAACCCAAGAGTCAGCTGGCTCACTGATGGCATGATGTTATCTTCCAGGATTTTCCCTGTTATACAATGTGGGTTTCCAGTTCTGGAGAAAATTTGAATAAATTTACTTTTTACTTTTTTTAAAATTTATGTATGCTGTATGCATTTTGTTCATTCCTAAGTTGTGAGTCGACACCAACCAAAATACTGTCTTTAGTTATTATAATTAATTAACATTAACATTTGAAATGTTGAAGACACTTTAAAAGTAACACAAAAGTAACACAAAATTAACTGCTTTTCCAGGAAAACTTTTCAAAAGTACTTAAGGTTTTGTGAGGGTACAAAACCCTGTTCAGTCTTTCCCTCCCAGACTTCTAGACTTCTGATCGGCACACATTTTGTTTTTAGCGTTATTTAGCAATATTTTTTCAAAACTGCACATTTAGACTGGATTTTTTTAAGAACAAAACCCGAAAAACTTAGTTTTGTATGTGTGGACGTAGCCTTAGACGCTCCTGAGATTACTGCAGCCAAGGTTTTTGTGCTGAGCATTGATCCATTAAACGGAAACTTCAGTGATTGCTAACACCAGGTCCTGTGTTTGTTTTTCCTTTTGCAGACACACACGTGATCTGCCTTTGATAATGTCCTCTTTCTGCTATGCCCAGTGGAGCCACAGTACATTTGATTTAAAACTTGTAAAGTTTACTTCCAGTACTGGAAACATTTAGTGGCTTTGCTCTCCTTTCTTCCATTCCTGCTCTTGTTTCTGCAAAGTAAGATTTTGGCAACTTTCTCATCCTGGCCATATTGTTAATAATAAATTTAGCTGATAAAAAGTGTTAAATTTAGGTAGGAAATGTTTCTTGAAGATTAACAGAATTTCTTTTGTCGGTTCACTAACTTTGTTATCCTCATTGTTTTATCATTTATATGTGGATCTGTTGTGCTTTGCATTTGCATTTCTTGCTGTTACTGGTAGGAATCTTGGTGAGTTTCTGTTCACAGTGAGTGGACACAGTGAGTCTGTGTAATTATCAGGTAAGGGGGCTGTTTTCCTTTTCTGCCTCCAGGTGCCAGGCAACCTCACTGTCCTTCACATTCCCCAGTTTCGGTCATGTGACCAGAGTTTGGCTAGAGCCAGCAGAGCATGACCAGAAACACTCACAGACTGCCCTTTCTTCTTTTCCCCCACTCATCCAGGTTTAGGTATTTGATTAGATACAGTTTTATTAGACCCTCAGGAACTCTGGGGTTGGTTGGTCCCCGTTTGCTTCTCAACTCCAACTCCCTAGGTTTTTCCCTGTTTATTTATGGTATTATTTTGAATTAGTTTTTTGAGTTAATCACTAGTTTTATAAAGTTTCTGTGTTTTAATTCACCAGCTGTGAGTAGGGCTCTTAGTAGGACTTTATATTTTGCAGAGCAAATAAAGAATTGATTTTGTAATAAGTATTATTTTAAGCTGATACTTGACTCCTTTTATACTTCTCGTCAAAAATAATTCTCCTTCAAATGAAAATGATTAATTTCATTTCACTTCTTTCCATCACTAAAGTGTGGTACCTGATCTTAGAATGGTTTAAAGTGCACCTGTGTGTAAATCACAGATTAACAGCAGCCAAACATGCCCCAGGCTCCTAGACCAGTCACTGGAACAACACACGGGAAATGGTGCTCAGTGGTAAACAACTTTAGATGATGATCCTCTGTCACATGTCTGAGAAAAGAGCTCATTTGTTTTATTTATTTGATATTTATTTCATTTAAAACTTTCAAGTTTAAAGAAAATTTCTTGTAAATGTCTGAAACTTTAATATTTTAGCCATTTGAGAGGGATGTGTTTGGATGCCCACATCTATTATAATGCAATAATACAAAAAGTTAATCTCAATTAGTTTAAAAGAACTTTTAATTTAAATGAGCTCTAACCTGTGGTTACAGGGATCGTGACCAGATGTCAAGCAGCTCCTTGTCCATTGTTGAATGTGATAGGACTAAGAGACAGCAGTCAGTAACATGATACAGCACCAAGGAACCTCTTCCATATTTACTGTGAGATATTCATAAATTTTTAACATTCCTGCCTTCCTCAGATGTGTTTGCATGCGTTTTGAAACTACACTGAAAAGGATGTCTGTCATTGCATGGAAATTCTAGTTGGTAGGAGTTTTAACTTTTTAAGCTTCTGAGTTAAGATCACTATGTGCTCCTTTGCTGCATGTTTTTATTAAATAAAGAGACAAAATGAAAAACTAGGTAGTAGAAGATTGAGGAGAAGTTAAAGTTTTACTGCATTTGGTGAACACTTTTAAATCTTGTTTTTACTTTCATAAATTTGAAATATTTTACTTTGTTTTAGTGTTATACATGCATTTTTATTTTGTTTTGTAGTATTTATTTTGATTTCAGATAATTTTACTTCATGAAGGACGTTGTTTTATTTAATTATTCAAGCTATCAGCTGTAGTTAACTTGTCTTAGCTGCTGTACCAAAGATATTTCTTTACATCCTGTTACGTGACGTATAGTAAAGGTGTATGTTGTTAATGAGTACTACCTGCAAACAGGTGTAGCAACAAGAAATAAAAGAAATGCAACTTGCCTGGAATGACTCCACTGTTTTGTGCTCACATTCTCACCTCTGCCAGTTAACTGATCCTGTGGCTAATTGTTTAGAGCGTATGAGGTAAAGCTGCCAGCTGGAGGTAATTTATATCTCAGGATTGAATATCAGGGTTACTCTCATGAACACACACCTTCCTTTTTTGTTACTGGTTTACTGACTCATGCAAGAGTGTGTATGCTGTTAAAAGATTAACAAAAGCATTTTTTATGTTCTTGATGAAAACATTTTTTTTAAAGAAAGGGGTAAAATCTTAAAAAGTCCTTTTATTTAGAAAAAAAGCCATTGAAAAATACATATTCATCATGTAATACAGCATGATTAGCTCAGTGACAAGTTGCCTCAGAACCCATGTTCTTTTATTCTCAGTACACACTGTGGACACTGTGTGTCCTGCAACCTCCAGTCTCTCAGCAGACTTTCACCCTTTCCACAATGTAAAAGAAACTCCATTTAATGCATGTTAACATTTGTCTTGGCTGGTACAGGTCATTATTGATATTGTTTCTACAGTATTTACCTCTATGTGCTATTCAACACACCAAATCATTAAATTTTCTACAGAGGGATGCTTCAGTATGAATGTGGCAGTGGTGGCTTGTGGGGGAAAAAACTTTCTTTGTAAACATGTAAAGAAGTTGGTACCATATAAAATGTAACAGTAACAATAAAATGAACAATATTAATCTGAAAAAGATGGAGTACTAAGATATGCACAGACATGTCTCTTTCATCCTTTTTCAGTCTCTTGAAAAGCAAAAGGTCCATCACAAAAATACTTAATATTACAGGCAAAATCAAATGCATCCTTCATTGAACAGTTCTCATTTTTTATGAGCTCTTCGTCTAAAGACAATCTCACTTTGATGGGGTGAGCAAGTTCAAGATTGAGTACTGTTTTTTTTTCTTTTTCTTTTTGGTTCATACATAGTCTTTCCTTTCTAAACCTGGCCCACCGACAGACCGTGGGGCAGAATAAGCCATTCGTGAAGGGTTGTATCGTGTCTCACGAGGCGGACAGGAGAAACAGAGCAGTCCACCGCCCAGAATCAGGAGTGCAGCAGCTCCCCAGCCAATATACATTGCAGCCCCCAGCTCCCTCCGCTGAGCATCAGTGAGTAACGGATTGTAGAAATCCCTGATTATGGTGTTCGCAGACCAGGAGACAGGAATGAGCTGCATGACACCGGATACAATGAAGAAGACTCCAGAGATGATCATCACTTTGGCCTTGGATGCCTCGTCTTCAATGCAGTTGGTGCACTTGGCCCCAGCAATAGCAATGAGCAAAGCCAGGATTGCTAACAGGATGGAGATGACTGTGAGAGCTCGGGCAGCTTGAAGATCTTGGGAGAGGGCGAGCATAGAGTCATACACCTTACACTGCATCTGTCCAGTGCTCTGGACCACGCAAGTCATCCACAGGCCCTCCCAGATGATCTGAGCTGTCACAATGTTGCTGCCAATGAAGGCTGTCACCCTCCACATCGGGAGGGCACAAGACACAATGGCAATAAGCCATCCTAAAATGCAGAGGGAAATGCCAATCAACTCCAGCCCTATAGACATGCTGAGGGTCCTTTTTCCTTTTCCTGCTGAAGGTATGTCACACCTGAGGTAAGATCCCAGAAAAGAAATCTAATACAGGAGAAGAGCCGAGAAGAGAGCCAGGTATGGTTAATTTCAGGCCTCGCATTGGTGTGTGATGATCTTTCACCTCGACTTCACTAGAGCTGATTTTATAAGGCTGGTCAGGTGCAGGGGAGGAGTCTGTGATGAAGCTGACATCACTAAAAGGGGAGGAATTACCTGGACACTCAAGTCTTTCTGCTATCGGCTTACATGGCCAACTTCACAATGGGCCTGACCACAAAGAGGTCTTTTACAGCTAAAAGTGTTATAAGTTTAATGTACAAAAGTATGGGAAGAAAAAAAGATCTTTGTTGTCAAGCAAACCTATTAAAAAAAAGAATATAAATGGAATTTTACCTTCTCAGAAAACGTTTATATAATGAAATTTTGTGAAACCAGTGAAAACTTTCCTTTCACTTTGCAGCTGCTCTTAAAGCTGATAAACCTTCAGCCCAGCCTTCCCTCTGTGATATCATGTTGCTTTTTTTGAAATGCCTGATAAATGAAGAATTCTGGTCTCACTACTTCCAAAACAAACTGTTACTCTCCTGATAATCACTGCAAAAGCCCTTGCTTCTCCTAAGCGAGGGAGTGAAGATTCTCTGCAGCTTTACGAGAGCACAGACTACCTCAGTTGAAGTTAAATCCTTACACATACAAAGAGTAGAGTTATGAGGCTGGCTTTCACCTGGCAGTCCTGTTAACCTTTATGAGTCTTAATGAATCCATCTGTCTGTAGAATGTCCTTGAATTTCTTTTCGTCCAAGACTGTCTCCCTAAGAATGCCCCCATCCCCCAGCACTCTGTAACCCAGGAGTAAAATGGGTTCATTGTTTGGAGTGAGAGTTCAGATAGTTGACTGTGTGTAAGACAAGGTAGCGGTTCTTGTTAGCACAGAGCCTGCAGACATATGGGAGACAGGGAGATGAATAAGTGCTGTGACAGAGACTCTGAGTTGTCTAATGAATCTGAGTGTGCAAAATTAATGACATTTTTCTTCTTTACACCCCTACAATATCAAGCTTGACCATTTTACAGATTCTACTTTTGTTCTAAATTAGTACATTCTCATTTTAGTATGAACAGTAGAGTATAATTGACCAGTCTACCATCAAACAGAAACTTGGTTAATTTTATATCATTACCATTAGTTTATATAACTGCTGTGTAATAGAGCACTGCTTCTCAGCCAATGATGGAAGCAACTGGATTTTGAAAAAGTCAAAACATACATTACTTCGTTGATGCTATGAAATATTATTAATGTGTGTATTTTGCATGGTTTTTCTCAAATGTTGATATACCAGATAGCTCACTCTCAAAAAAGTAAAAAGGAAGAAAAAGCTTCTTTTGGGTGTTCGCTTATTCACATTCACTTATTTTTTATTTATTTTATTTTACACTGCATACCCTATCTGACAGTAACATTCATCCAAAGATCATCGTACACCTCGGATTTCTTAAAAAAAAAACAATCCACTGACATCGATTATTTTGATTGACATTTAATTTCATGTATTTGTTGCTTACACTCTTTTTTTCCTGCCCTTTATACTTTTTAATTTAAATTTTTTGCAATCACTTAAAACAGTCATAGTCACGCAATGATTATTTTTTACATTAACTGCAGGATCCTTTATAGACAGATAAATAGATTATCTTGAAGCCTTAGCAATCAGTCATTTTCAACAGTGAGGGCTCATTGTCAACAGTCAAAATCATCACAAGAGGTTTGTTTAAAAAGGGCGTAAAAACATGTAAACCATGAAAATATTCCAGAGAAACAGATGTAAAAAAGCATATAGATAGATACAGACAGAACACAATGACACCTTATTCTAATCAAAGCATTTATGTGTATTTAAAAATGCGTAATGAACACAATTTAAACTTCAGGCATATAAATGAATAAACTCTCTAAATTTGGACTGCAAATAATAGAACTTTAAAGTTGTTAATCTCCAACAGCAACATGTCTGCACTTAAAATGTAGGACATGACAATATACCAAGACAGAATATGGAATTTCCTTCTGAACATGAAAGCAGAGCGATACCAATTTCTAAGAAATGGCTCTTCTCCTCAACCATGATGGCAAAGATGTGATAAAAGAGCAGATGTTTTTTTCAGACGTAGTCTTTCCTGTCATAGTCACTGGGGACGACGGACTTAGGTTGAGCGTATACCGTTGATGGAGGCCCATGCTTTTTCTGAGGCTTCTGGGGCCGGCTGCACAAGAGGATGGCCCCTCCTATGAGAAGAAAAGCAGCTGCTGCCCAGCCCAGGTACAAAGCTGCACCGAAGTCTTTCTTCTCCCCCGATCCCGTTGAATTGTGGAAGTCCATCATGATATTGTGGGCAAACCATGACACGGGTATCATCTGGCTCAGAGATGCCAGGATAAAGTTCACACCAGCAACAATCATCACTTGAGCCTTGGTTGCCTTTTCATCCACACAGTTGGTACACTTTGCTCCCACAAAGGCTGCAAAAAGCCCCACAATTCCCAAAAGAATGGAGAGGATAGTAAGGGCACGCGCGGCCTGAAGCTCAGGACTTAGATCCAACATGGAGTAATGAATTTTACACCCCATGTAACCTGTGCTCTGGATTCGGCACTCCATCCAGATGCCCTCCCAGCTCGTCTCAGTAGTGATGATATTACTTTGAATAAAAGCTGTTACTTTCCACATGGGCAAAACGCAAGACGCAATGGCAAAGATCCATCCAAGGAAAGCCAGGGCCACTCCAAGAATCTCTAATCCCATTGAAGGCATGTCTGCACTGTGTGTAAATACGAAGTGTCCACTGTCAAGTGTCAAGTGTCAGATGTCCTCAGAGTAGTTTGAAGAGATCTGAGTGATTTATTGAGATTATTGCTGATACGAGAACAGATGGTTTTAAATAGGTGGAGTCACATGGATATTGATTGGAGGAGTTCAAATAGTTAACTGCCCCACCTCATTTGTACTGCCAGAAACAGCCGACTCAGCTTAATGATTCAACTTTCACGGCCTTAGCAGCTCTCCCACCTGTTTGGGTGAGGGGAGAGTAAACAGTGGCTTTTTCTCTCAAGTCTACAGTAGTTAAAGAATAACAGAAAAGTTAAAGGTCGAAGGATGAATGCTTGAAAGTACAGGACAACTTCAGCAATAGTATCATTGTAGTAGTGTGTGGCAAATGAATCAGAAAGAAAATTTGTTAAAAATGCTTATTAATAATGCAAGTTGCACAAATGGGTTTGTGAATGCCATTAGTACTTTATTACACCTTATTTGGATAAACAGTAGTCACTGAAAACCGAACATGATGGAAGTGGTGAAAAGCAAATGGGGGGGGGAGTTCTCTGGAAACCAGTGGGAGTTCTCTGATTATGTGAAGGTTGTATTTGTATATATGTGAAAGCCTCTGCATACCTCTGATAAATTTGATTAAAAAAAAACATCATCCCAAGTTCTATGGAAAGCTTTCACAATTCCACCTAAAAATGTTTCAACTTTAAAAGTTTAGAGATATAAATGTTTTGGAAAAAGCACTTTCATCTGGCCACAAAAAAGACAAGGCCTAGGTTTCTTTCTCTGCTTTTTATAGAAATATCATTTAAAAAATGTCTTTTTAAGACAGGTGATTGATAAGAATGTTGTTCGAGTTAATTTTCTCTTAGTGTAAAGCACACACTGAGTTACTCAAGCAGCCTCAATTTAGAAAGCTTAAATTATTAGATATTATGTCATCATAATAGGGTGTGTAATGTGCTGATATGTACTGCTAAAAACAGCTTCACTGCATCTGTTCAAATGACTAATCTGTCCTTCTGGGAAGTTCTTGACTAACACTACTTGTGGAACTGCAATGCAACACAAAACCCCTCTAACATAATACAGTGTGCACTGATTATATTACTTTCGGGAAACTCTTTTAGGAACATCTGTATTTCTCTCAGTACACACACGTGCTCTTAATAGAAGAAAACACTATATAATAGGCCAGTGTGTTGGAAAATGCATAAATAGTCTGTTTAGGTGTCCTGTGGGTGGGTGGAATGGATTATCAGTGTCCTTTTTCAGAAAATCATTGCATCATTTATTTCAACTTTTATTTCAGTGTGCTGTGGAGAAAAACTTACACTCTGGCCTCCAAGATTTAGCAGAGCTTCCTCATCACACTAACACAAACTGCACGGCATCATTTTCACTTTGTAAACCATTTTACTAACATGAACATTATTGACATGATCATAGGACCACAGCAGTCAAATGCATGGCCTTCAGACACTTGAATGCTTGGGCTTAAATCAAACATTATTCAAGAAATTTATATTTTCTTGAAGTTGTTGAGCAAGCCTTGGCCCATCAGAATAAGAACAGTAAAAATATAAAAAGCCTTAACATTTTATCCTAAGTCAACCTCTGCTGGGAAATGATGCACTCATAGTTTGTCCACACCTCATTTAACCAACAACAACATCATTGTTTCTCTCTTGCATCTGCAGTTTCTTTGAAATGGGAGCTGGCTTGTACTAATATGTTTTCCATCACTTCTGACTAGCACCCGATTGCACTGTTGTGCTGAATGACACATTTTGTAAGCAGCTCTGTGGCCACTGAAAAGGAATTTCTAGTATATTTAGAAGCTCGTAAATATACTTTACTGTATACTAATAAATATATGTAACTTCGTATCTAATGCCTAAGTTAAGAAGAGATGAAATGTTTTCTAATTTGTGTTTCTTGTGGATTTTTAGCTCTTCTTGTTTGTCGAACGGATTAAATCACATGGGTTGGTTGACCTTAAATGAAGCAAGTCGACTATTTTTCTGTCTATATTGTTAAAGTGTACTATTTAAACATAATTTCTTTCATAGTAAATCTTTTTTATATAGTGTTTGCAAGAATTGACATACCCTTTTAAACATTCAAACTATATTTTGAGTCTGTGAATCCAATGCCAAGCAGAAGTGCACAGCAATTAGTTGCAAACTAGCTGATCAATAGAGTCTTTGTGGCTCAGTTGTGACTCGGCAGAGGTTACATCCCCTGCAGATGGAGACTGTTATCTCCGACTCAATTTCACTTTGCAAATGGAGGGCAGGCTACAAAAGAAAGGGAGCACAAGGTGCTCTTCTGAAACAAGCCATCTATTGTTAGTTTCTTCCATCTACATTGAAATAAAATATCCAAAGCTGGAATGCCCCTGAACTGCACTTCTTGGTCAAACATGGCTGAACTCTATAGCCGGTATATGTCCCTGCCTCTGCACACCAACAAACCTTTTGGAATAAAAAGCACAGCACAAAGTGCACTACAAAGAAAAGTTGATAACAAACCAGTTACTGAAAAAAAAGTTTTACTTTTCAACTGAAGTTGTGAAACTTCCTCTTGTCAGAATTTACTTCCAAGTACATTGTGTGAAGATTTCTAAAGGTTAGAAACATCTTGATTTCAGCTTTTTGAGGAAAAAAAATGTGTTCATACTTGCAAAAGAAACAAAAAAATGCACATCATTTTAAAAAAATGTTCACGACTAAAACATGAAACACGGATCAGTCATTTAAACATTTGAAGCTAGCACCAAACATGCATCTACTAACCACAAATTTATAAATGCAGTTCATCATTTCCTCATGTCACACAGTCATACATAGTCTCTTCTGGTGTATCCATTGACTGATATGGTTTTTACAGCTGAGTAGTCAATGCGGGAAGGTGCAGAACCACCACCACTTGGTGCCGTGGTTGATCTGCGAGGGCAGGAGCAGCAGAGCAGGGCTCCCCCTAGAATCAGCAGGCAGGAAGCAGCCCAACCAAAGTACAGAGCATTGCCAAACTCCCTCTTCCCTGTCTCCTCCAGCATGGGGTCATAGAAGCCCAGGACAATGGCGTGAGCTGTCCAGGACACAGCCAGCAGAAGCAGCAGTCCAGCCACCACAAATGTCACCCCAGCAGCCACCATGAGGCGAGGTTTACTGCTCACATCCCGGCTACAGTTGGTGCACTTGGCACCAGCCACTGACAAAATGATGCCCACAATGCAAAGAACCAGAGAGATGATGACCAAGGCACGAGCTGCTTGCAGGTCAACTGGAAGCCCCAGCATGGAGTCATGTACCTTGCAGTGCATCTGTCCTGTGCTCTGTACAGAACAGTTCATCCACAAGCCTTCCCAGATAACCTGAGAGATGACAATGTTCTGGCCGATGTAGGCAGCCACTCTCCACATAGGCAGGCCACAGGTCACCATTACTCCCAGCCAGCCAGCCACAGCCAGAATGATCCCGAGGATCTCCAAACCGGTAGAATACATAGTTGGAGCAGGGGATGAGGAAGGAGCTGAACAAAATTCTGTTTCAGTGCGCTGTGAGATGGGAGGGCTTCTGTGTCGGTGAGCTCAACCCTCTTGAGATGAAGGTGACATTGGATCTCTGTGGCTCAAAGGCCTGTGCAAGGCTTTTAGCGAGAGAGGAAGAGAGAGGGAGAAAGAGATTCTACCTTCTTTATTCAGTTTAGATGGATGAAAGTGGAGTCAGCTTAAGGCGGCATCATTTCTACCTCCAAACTGAACTTGGGTTTCTGGAGACATCAAAGTTTTCTTTAAAATCTGATACAAAAGGATGTCTTATAATATGAGACAACCACAAAAATACATATCATTGTTAATAGAATAGTCCAATGCTGAAATGTACATGAACCCAGGGAGTGTTAGTAAAATGCTGTAGATTTTTTTCTGAAAAACAGTTTTATCTATTTTTACACCAATTAAACATTTACATTTATTTACTGAGATGCATAAACTGAATCGAGTAAAGATACTTTTAAGTGTTTTGGAGTTTGTTTGTTTTTTTAAACTGGATACACAGTATTTTAGTCCATGTGTGCATATTTCTGTGACATGTGACAGAATGATGAAAAACGCTGAATCATTCCCTGAATGAGACCCATGAAGAAAAAAAGAGGAACAATGCCAGCCTTGTTTTTTGGTGGCCAGTCACACAATCCCTTATAGCACAGAAAATACCTACTGGCCAAAAAAAGAAAAAGAAACAGGCATCTAATGAGTCCTCTTTATGTCATTTGAGACCTATCTAGAGATTCTTGGATGACTTTATCCAGTTATATTACCTCATTTTAAGCCAGTTTCCTTAATGACGGCTAGGTGATACTGAAATAAAGTGTGATGGGCAAATTAAACTCTTGATAATCTAACTGACCAGAAAATTAAAAAAAAAAATACAAATCAAGGTGTAGTAATGCCCAGATATTTTCCCATTCAAAAAATATTCACTCACAGCTGTTATGTCTTTTTTTTCTTTGGTACTGTCTGTCCTGCAAATACTTTGGTCAAAGGACTAGAAAATGCCTAACAGTTAGGGATATCTTCTAAAAAGTCTTCACATCTTCTTGAGAATAGGGGCTTGGCTAATAAGTGAACTCCACTAATATACAGAGGTCACATCGGGTCAGTGATTGGCTACAACAGCATTAAAAGGATTTGTTTATCAGCACTAATTAGATTGACCAGTGCTCAGAACAAAGAGTCCAAAGAACTCACTGAAGATTTAAGAAGGAGAAACATAGGTTTACACAAGCTGGGAGGGTCTCTTGGAGCTATTTCTAAATAACTGCAGATCTGAAAATCTTTGGTTCAAATAATTTTACATGAATACAAGTTATTCAGATGTGTCACTCAAACTCTTACCCTCAGATGAAAGAAATTTGTTAGGTTGCTCAGGAACAAGAAAGTAACTGCCAAGACTCAGGCCTGCAATGAACAGTAAACTACTGGAATGTCAGATCTCAACCTTAATGAAAATTTGTGTACTTTGCTTAAAAGTCAGGCCTATGCCAGGAAACGGACCCATTTAAATTCAAATATCCAGAAAGAATTATCCCACAAGCTTGTTGATGGCTACCAAAAGCATGTGGTTGAGGTGCAATTTAACTAAATTTAACTAAAATTAATAGGAGAGTATAAGTCAGTAAAGATGTATGCTATGCAATCATTCCACCCTGAAAAAGAACAATTCAAAGAAATCATTAAGAGGCCAAAATCTCCTTGAAATTCTTGTGCATCATCAGTGTCTGAAAACGTCTGGCCACAACTGTAAGCTGGGAGTAGTAATAGTTCTCCATTCTGCAACCACACAGTCTTTCATCATCATGACACATGCCTGCCAGAAGTCTGTTGTTAGTCAACAGAAATATACTGAATAGTACTCCCTTTGTTGCCAAATAAGTATTAATAATGTGACTTAAAATATAAATAAATAAATACAAAAGCTTTATCGGTTAGAAACAATAGTAGCACAGTGGTGATGCAGTGATTTACCTAAACATGCAAACATACATGGAAATACAGTACATAAAGAAATAACTAAAGAATTTGTACATACAGTACTTTGCTTCATTTATTATTTCGTCAGTTTTGACAAAACCACCTCTGTGTTCCAAAGACGGCTGTAGGGACTCACTGTTGTACCTCTGCTTACCTCTTCTGTACAGATTGACAATTTGTACAACTTTCCCCCCCTACCTTGTTCAAATTTTTACACATTTTTTGTCCTTCCTTGAGAATGTCTTCTTCACAGACACCTTTTCCCTCAGACCATTTGTAATCGTACTTCAATGAACAGACTCAACTGAAGGGCCTATTTCTTGACTATAAAATACTGCTCATCTGCTGTAGTTTCTTTTTAGGCTTTTCGCTTCTACTTTTGTCCTACACTTTTCCAGTTTCTTCAGAACTTTTAAGAAATATCCTGCGCACAATGCCAAGGTATGCACAACTATTTTAAGTAATGTAACTATTTGGCTAATAGCTATTTGGTAAACACCTTGTTGGTGTGAAAATATTAAAATATTATTTTATGGCTGTCAAACTGTGTTATATTTTGCATCATATATTATATTTCGGAGATTCAAGTAAGGAAATGCTGCGTGTTGTTACAACAGGTTGATAGTATGTTAGTAACAAAATACCTAAGTTACCTGTTATGTGTAGACACAACACTGGTTCCTCCCTGAGTTCTCTTTTTATGTTTGTATAAAAATAAAACTCACTCAGGTGTCTTCTGTACAAGCTTTTTATGCTCGATTGATTCATATTATCAGATACAATGACTGGATTGAAAAACAGTGAAAAAGCAGCCAGTTTCCATATAAACACTGTGAAAGAGCTCAGAAAGCCTGGAGCACTACTCAGTATCACTTTAAAATTTACAGGTAAGTCCGGTTCCATGGAGGAAACATGAAAAGAAATGGGGAGTGGCTGGAGACTTTTGCACAGTACCATGCATGGATAATATGTTATGGGAGCTTTAAGATGTTCTTTCCTGCGTGCCTCAGCTGTGTTGACCATTTCTTGGTATCACACATGTAGCAACTCGCACACCTTGCTCAACATTTACCTGTTATGGGAACCAGTCTGACCTGTTCAATGAAGGTGCTCCTGGTTGTTGTCACTGTACACTAAAGTGTACTAATCCTAAGTATAAATGTATACCAATTATTGTTAACATTAAGCTGAAGAATTTCTTTTGTTGTTTGATTTGATTGCTTTTTAATTGTTATTTAAAAACAGGCGTCTGTTGTTGAAAAATACTGTAGTGAACTAATCCAGTTTAAGCTAATACAGCTTAGTGCAATCAGCATTGTTACAGTGATTGAAAGCACCATGAATCATGTAAGGAAATAGTAAAATAAAAGGAAATAAAAGCTGTTCCTGTATAGAGCTGTAACGGTCTACACAGACTTTACGAGTTTTTCCCCAGGGCAAAATACAACCTGACAACAATTCTTATAGAATTCAAAACAACACCTGCCTGCTTGTATTTATCATAGAACAAACAGCATTCTTTTTTGGGGCAGGGATAGCTCAGTAGGTAGAGTGGTGGCCCCATGATCGGAAGGTCGGGGGTTCGATTCCCTTGAACAGCTACCCTGAGGTACCCCTGAGCAAGGTACCGTCCCTACACACTGCTCCCCGGGCGCCCAGTGGCTGCCCACTGCTTCACTGAGTGAATGGGTTAAATGCAGAGAGGGATTTTCCCCACGGGGACCAATAAAGTACACTTTCTTTCTTTTCTTTTCTTTTTTTAGGGGGGCGGTAGCTCTCATCTCAACCATATGAGCATCATAAGTTGTAAATTAGCAAGCCAAAAGTAGGTCCGTCTAAAACGGGCCAACTGTCGTTTTAAGTTTTCTTGAAACCTGTTCAGTCACAACGACATCCATATTTGGTGCGTTGTTATGTTGTGTCGTGCAGACTAGTCTCTGAAGTTGCGAAACATTAAAGGGCACGTCGATGTACTCATTGAGATTAGTTCTTAACATGTCATCCTCTTGGCATTACAATGCCCACAAATGCAGCTCGCTCTAAACTGAAACTGGGCACAAACAGTTTGCATGGTACTTTTATCTATTGCATTACATCTGATCAAGCAGTTTAAATTTAAGGTTTAGTAGCGCTGGGTGGTTAGCACTTGCGTTCATCCTCATGCCCTGGATGTTTTTGTTTATTTGGCAACATAAACAGAGCAAGCACCTTCTGTTTTTCTAACACAAGTTGCAAGTGGCCTGTACTTTTTGAACACCTGTTAATTAATTTTGTGTGTAATGTGGTGGTTTGTATTTAACGGCATTGCTCAATGAATCATTGTATAAAAACTAAATAACCTGTTGTCATCTGTTTGAACAGAGATATTAATAGAATGTATTAAGGGGCTATTAGGAGTACTACTGTCAACAGACCTGACTTCAATAAGCTCCAAATAACAGATTAAACAAGAAAAAGACCACTGTGAACAAACACACACAGACATCTTCCAAGAGTGTGATTTTAAACCACTGCCCTATGAGAGTAAATATTAACAGGTGTGTTTTACACAGGATGTTATCATTTCGGGTCTAAAGAAGCTCCTATTTGGCAGACTGAAAGATTTCAGGTTCCTGTTGGTGTCATGTGATAATAAGACACGGCAAAAACGAGTGAGTCACTGAGCAACACACCATGTTGTGCCTAAATCATCCACTGAAACTGTGACACTACCTGAGCAACTGGCACGCAGCCCCCAGTGATGATATCATACAGATACAAGCAAACCACAGTTTTATCTGATGAAAATCCTAGACAGTATAACAATTTCCCTTACATCAGAAAATCTAACTTTTTCCATAGGAACCAGTAACAAAACATTGATCTCATATACAAGAAGATACCTTGAGAATATGACAACTTATAACTTATAAACAGGTGCAAAAACTATTAAATAGGTCAGGTAGGTTTTACATACAAAGCGTATGGGCCTTACAGCATATAAAATAACACACAACCCCTCATCTGCAGTTTTATTTTGTTTATTTCTTTGCATCGTAACCCTTCAAGTTTGACTAAAGGGTTGGGCAACTGAATAACAACCAAAGGCAGCCGTTACTGTGAAGTCTGAGCTTGTTCCAGACAACTCCCTTTGTCGTTTTCCCACAGCTCAAGCGTTCAAGTCTCTTACCTGTTGTATCAGAATTTGTACTGTTGGCTTTTGCAGGGATACTTACGCATCGTTATGCTTTTTAAGCACAGTTTAATTACTTGATCGCATGTCTTGGCAGTTTTTTAAGTAACATTTTTTAACAGTTACATTTAAATTTTGTTCACCATCTGAATCTTAAAATGATCTTACATGTATGTGAATATTTTCTTATTACCCACGAGTTTGACACGAGGAGTCATGAGGTAAATGATTGCAGCATAAGGCCTATCAGGAGTAATCTGGCCCTGAAAAATCTCTCCTCAGAGTCTTAATTGTGAAAATTCCTCCCAGCCTCCTTGTGTCTGGAACCTAATCTCCATAGCCAGGCTCAAGTACCTTTAATGATCCTACCTTGGAAAAAATAGAGGTATTATGGTCCTTACTGCAGTTCTGGCTCTAAAACACTGCCTCTATTCATTTCGGGGACAATCTGATTCTCCCTCTACCTCCCTTAGCCCCCACTCACTATTCCCTCTTTTAGTAATAGTCTGTCACCTGAAATCACTGTTCCTGGTGTTTGCTATTTCTCTAACATCTCAACCCTGATGTCTTCAGAATACTGTGGAAAACTATCTGTAAGTCAAGTGGGATCTGGACTGCAAAATATACATTCTCTCTGAGGACATCCTGTAAGAGCTGCAAGTATTTAAGGACTGACATCACTGCAAGGTCAGCTTTAAACCTTTTTACTCTTTTCATGCTAACTAATATAAATTATTTTCTTGAGGCTGTAAAGGAGGTTGACAACAAATCTATCATTCTTTTTCATTCATTTCAGCATGAAATAGCATTCTCTTTACATTTGCTGACAAGCAGGGCATGTGTGCTTTCAGTGAATGATAAGAATGGTGTGAGTGCACCTGCACAGTGTAAAGTTTATGAGAGTCTTTTCTAAAAAGCTGTTTTGGAAGACATTTGGGTTCAGCTAATGTACATTTAAACAACTATTCAATTCAGATTAAGTATTATTAATATTAGTTTATATTATTTGGACAGTCAGGATTTTCTTTCTCTAGACTGAGGCATTATTGAATTTCAGAAATAACTTGTTTTCAGTGGATCTGTTATCCTGACTTGTACAGTTAATCAAAAAAAAAGGTTAACTATACTACAAAAAAGTATAACAATTCGATCTGTATATTTAGGAACCAGTTGGAGAAGCTTTTTTTTTTCATAGTTCCTCAAAACCTGACATTTTACATATGCATGATTGTTACTTCACAACAGTAAAGTAGTTTCAGTCATTGTTACTGCAACACATCAAAAAACATGGGACAAAAAATATCTTCTATGGGCAATGCTTCTGCCACACCCGTGAGTCATAAGGTAGCTTTTCCACCTGCAACGATTACCCAACTGAGACCAAAACTGACATGATGATACACGTTTGGGGTTGAGATTAGGGATGAGAACCGTAAGGACGTCACAGCTCTGTGTAACTTTGCATGTGTCAAGCCCCTCCTCAGTTAAGTATAAAAAAGGCCCGTTCCAGACTTATTCAAACATTTACACTTGGGGATCTTTCAAGCAAGACTAACTTTCTGGACATTTTTTGAAATACTGCAAGAAATTTTCTGAGGAAATATGGCTTCGGCTGGCTTTCAGATGCTGGGCACTGCCCTGTGCATTATTGGATGGATTGGGGTCATTGTTATCTGTGCTTTACCTCAGTGGAAAGTTACAGCCTTCATCGGCCAGAACATTGTCACAGCTCAAACTACATGGGAAGGCATCTGGATGACCTGTGTAGTCCAGAGCACAGGCCAGATGCAGTGCAAAGTTTATGATTCAATGCTGGCCCTGTCTTCAGACCTCCAGGCTGCTCGAGCCCTTACTATCATCGCGATCCTGCTTGGTGTCATTGGCATCCTACTGGCCATGGCTGGAGGGAAATGCACCAACTGTGTGGAGGATGAGAGCTCAAAAACCAAAATTGGCATTGCAGCTGGAGTGGTCTTCATCATTGCAGGTGTTTTGTGCCTTGTCCCAGTGTGCTGGACAGCAAACGCCGTCATACAGGAATTCTACAGTCCAATGTTAATTGCTTCTCAGAAGAGGGAACTGGGAGCTTCTCTGTTCATTGGCTGGGGAGCAGGAGGCCTCCTCATCATCGGTGGTGCATTCCTCTGTGCCAACTGTCCTCCCAAGGATAACTACTCTGCCAAGTACTCAGCTCCCCGTTCATCTGCTCCAGCTGCAAACAAGGGCTACGTTTGAGGAGAAACAAGGAAAAGGAAAAGCTGAGAAAGCCAAGAGACTAAAAAAAAGACATGAATCAAATGCGTTGTGGTCTTATTGATTGATTCATGTTGACACTTTAAATATTTCAATATTTCTATCGTACTTGTTTGAAAATTGCTAAGAAAAAAAGCCCACCGCACCCAAAACTGGGCGTGGTGCACACAATGTCCCATACGGTGGAGTCACAAAATGCTGTAAAGTTCATCATGCTACTTGGATTTGTTGTATTTTTCATTCATTCATTTTCCTTTGATATTATCCATTTGTATCTTTTTGCATAACATTTCATGTGTGTTCAGTGTGTTTTTTATTCATAGACGTTTTTAAGCTGTAAATAAAGATGCGTTTTAAGCACTGCTCAACCAACATATTTTGTGAGTTTATCCTTTTTTTATTTATTAAAACTGTATAATGTTAAGATTAAATGAAGTCTTATAAAAGAGGATATGAGGTAACACCTCTGTCTCACAACAGAGGTGTTACCACCCATAACCATATTTCAGTTTATAGAACTAAATCAGTGTTTCTTTTTTGTTGGCCAAAAAAGAGTCCAAGCAGACAAAACTTATACAAATCAGAAAACAATATAATTATTAAATATATTGTAATATAATTAAATATAATTAAATATAATATATCTAAGTACACATTTAAAAAAAATGATTAGTAGATATATATAAGATACATATTTATCAAATCACTACTAGGAAACATGACTAATTTTTATGTAAAAATTCTTAAGCATTCTAATTCTTTAGTAGATGCATGAGCAGCTTAAAGATTTCCATAATGTACTTTAAAAAGAACAGTACAGTACCGTGAAAAAGTATTTGCCCCCGATTCATTGGTTTTTGCATATTTGTCACACTTTCAGATCATCATGTTTCAGATCATCAAATAAATTTTACTAATAGTCAAAAAACTCAAGTAACTACAAAAGTAGTTTTCAAAATTGGTTTCACTTATTAAGGGAAAAAAGCAAACGCGGTTTGTTTAGCCGTCGATAGGACGACTTACTGAGTTTCTTATCATTGGCCTTCTGCATAACCAAGTTTTACTAGTGCTTCAGGGCACAAACTGTTTGCCCAATTTAAGTGTGAAAAATGTGCAAAAAATAAGAAATCAGAAAGGGGGCAAATATTTTTCACAGCACTGTATTCTAGGAAAATAAGGCACTCCTTTTCCCTCCAAAACTGCTTCCTCTGAGTGACTCTTTAGTGAAGCGCTCCCTATCTGAGTAATCACTTGGCCAACACTGCCTCTTGCTGCAAAGAAGATATCACATCTTGCAGTTTTTTGTCTGACTGCTGAGTGAGACAAAAAAACTGTTTCAACAGTCAAACGGTAGCATTTTAACCTTAAAAAAATCTGTTAAACCTGAACCTTCAATACATCAGTATAGTATAAATGAACAAGGTTATTCACTTATCTGATTAAAGATTTAAACATTTAGCATAATGTTTGTGTAGGTTCTCAGTCATCCAGATCATGATATTCCAAGGAGCTTGAAAAAGAAGCGACTGGACTTCTGTAAGTTTTTGACAAGAGACCATCAAATAAAACAGGAAATTGCTAACACACTCAAACATATGAACTTGTCCCAGAGACAGGAGATAAATACAAGACAGCAGGAACAGAATGGGAACACAAAAGAGGATTAAAACCCTATAGCCAAATTCAAGCAGTAAAAACACGGATTTCAATATCACAAGGAAAGTAAAGCTAACATGGAGCTCGAACATAAATCCAATCTCAAAACCAAAAGAAAGTCATAAACCCCCAAAACACAGAATAAACCTTAAGAACTTTGGAACAGGAACACAGAACTAAAGACATGAATTAGCACCAAAAGGAACTTGTATCAGTTGTAAGCAAATCAAGGCCAACTCAAGTAAATCAAAATAAACACTAAGAAATAACAGAAATCTAAATATCAACAATACCGACTAAAACTAAAGAAAACTTAAATAGTCCCAAAACTCAAAACTCTGGATCCCAGACAGAAAGACCCTGACATTTATAGCATATTTAAATCAACTGACCAAAGTGTTTAGAGGCCATACAAAATATACATACAATTAAAAGTGCCTGAATAAAGACATTAGAAACATAATTAAACAATAATAGAAATAAATAAGACTCTGCTTGCACAATGATAAACCAAGAATATTCTTTTAAAAGTCAGAGAAAATAAATAGGTTTTAAACAGCGTAGCGTGGCTTAGCATATTTGATTCTGCATTTTCAGCATATTTTTACATCAAATGTCCTTGCTATTGCAACCCAAAAAATTTAAAAGAAATAAAAGAAACCACAGAAGCAAAAAATTATTGTTGTTTGCTTTTTCATTTTTTTATCCAACCTTGAAACTCTGGATTTCTGGCTGGTCAGCAATAATGAAGGTCACTAGGTCTGTTTGTGTGTAAACTCATCTGGCCAATGGCAGTTGACGACTGTGGTTTCGCATTCCCTTATGTCTGTGTCTCTTTTATTTCACACAACAAACTTTAAGCACAAGCTTACAGCATTTCCTCTGCACTCTTTTTGACCTTAATGTTGGAGAAATTAAGACAACAAGATGGCTTCTCAGGGGATTCAGATCACTGGTATAACAATGGCTATAGTTGGCTGGCTCTTGGAGATCACAGCATGCGGCTTACCCATGTGGAAGGTCAGTGCTTTTATTGGTGCCAACATCGTCACAGCTCAAACCTTCTGGAAGGGCTTGTGGATGGACTGTGTGGTGCAAAGTACAGGCCAGATGCAGTGCAAGGTGTATGACTCGATGCTGGCTTTGGAATCTGACCTACAGGCTGCTCGTGCCATGATTATCATCGCGATCCTTGTTGGAGTCTTTGGACTGATCTTGTCAGTTGCTGGTGGAAAATGCACTAACTGCATCAAAGAGGAGCGATCCAAAGCAAAAGTCTGCATCTGTTCTGGGGTTCTGTTCATCATCTCGGGATTTCTCTGTCTCATTCCAGTCTGTTGGTCTGCCAACGCCGTCATCACCAATTTCTATAACCCAATGATGATGAATTTCCAGAAATATGAGCTGGGATCTGCACTGTATATTGGCTGGGCCGCTACTGGGTTGCTCTTAATGGGAGGGGGGCTCCTGTGCTGGAACTGCCCACCTAAATCTGAGCGCCGCCACTATGTGCCCAAATATGCACCTGGAAAGTCAGTCTCCACATCAAGAGAATATGTTTAAGGTGGTATTCCATTTCCACATGGACTCTCAAGGTCACAGAAATAGCAAAGGTAGCAAACTGGAGATTGCTTTAAAACTAAGATATAAATTATCCACATATTTGAGATAATGTAAATATGGCTTAAAACTACTGCTTGTTGAACGATGAGGTTTGGTCATGCTTTGTGTGGTTGTCAAGGTGATCTTTTCCACATCGGATGTTTTGTTTGGCCAAACATGTGAAGCTTATATCATAAACAATGGCTGCATTCCATTTGGAGGTACCGGCAGGGCTTTGAGACTGAGTCATTTGATTCATTGTCACATCTGCATGAAATGAAATGTTATTATTGTTACCGCTGTACTATTCCTTATGTGATTTCTCAAAAGGATTGGTGTAAAATACTTTCCTTAAACACCAAAGTATTCTGTGAAAGGGGCTTTTGTAATGTCTAATTTATAATGGAATGTAGCTGTGTTCAGAATTTCTGTTATTTGTAGCATCATTATGATCGGTGTAAATTTTAAGTCAGTTTTCTGTCAATGACAAATTGATTAATATTTATATCTTCTCTCACATATTATCTAAACAACCAGCAGCACATATATAACTGCTACTCAAGAAATGTGTCTTTAAAATTGTTTTCTTTTGCAAAACACTCTTTCTTGCCTTTGATGTATCTTCCTGAAAATAGAGAATTCTCTCCATTTTTCTGTTGGTGATCACTTGTAACATTTCAGCACTGCAAATAAACTGAACTTTGTTCTGCATTCTTGCTTTTTATTTTGGTCAAATTTTAGTGTATAAACTATATTAAGGAGACAGGTGAATGTTGAGGAGTAGTAAAATGAAAGTCAAGCAAAAGGTGAGGCAAGTACACAATCCTCTACTGTAACTAAAGAGCAGATTAAGTACATCATTACTCTGATAATCTATTTTGCATGCCAGTTTGTCTCAAAATATGCCATAGATCAATACTGAAATATAGTATAATAAAACTATCAACGTGAGCAATAGCTGTAATATGACATAGTGAGGATTTTTTTTTATAACTTAAACGCACCCATTGTTGTGTTAACAAGCTTTAGTTTCAAATTTTTATAAAAACCTAAATCATATATCACTCCGTAAGAAAAAGGTGTGTTCTACTAACAAGCGAAAGTGTGAAAGTGGTTGGTAGAGCAGTATCGGGTAACTGGTATAACATGTGAGCACTTTGTTTTTACCCAACAGACATCTCGGTCATGGGATGTTATGGGTTTTCTTTAAAGTATCACCGTCAGCTGTATTTTATCCCATTCCTTTTATGTGATTATTATCAAAACTAAAACAAATAATCCAGTTTCTGTATGTACCTTTGATCGCCTGTCAGATTGGCATAAAGTATATGAGAGAAATACCTATAGGCAGGCTACAGAGAAAACATTGTGAGTCTAAATGTGTTTGTTTTGTACCTCATCACGTTTTTTCAAAAGCTTTTATTTTAGTTTTAATTTTAAAAAATGACAGCTAACAATTTAATTACTGAACCACAGAGAGAAGCAGCATGTCAGCTTTGTTATTCCCTAAATAAATGAAATGAAGAAATACTGGCGAGTGTGTTAAACAAAATAAATAGATGAAAATAAATCAAATTAAACCATGTGCTTCGTTTTAGCTTATGGCCATACCACCTTGAGCTCACAAATCCATCTGAATTTAGAACTAAACATTTAAAACAAATTTTCCAGTAAAAATCTATTTAGCTTCAAGTTACTCAGTTTTAGTGAGTGTGTGAAGGATGGAAAGGGGTTATCCCAGTTTCAGGTACTTTAAACTTGACAAGTGATTGTTTCATCCAAACACTTATTATCACTGTGAGAAAAAGATCCACATATGACACTGTGTTTTGTTTTGTTTTGTTTTAAAAGGAAGCACTATAAACATTTTGTTTAATATTAGATTTTATATTTAACCAATTGCCTGATTATCTAATCAGCTGTAGGCTAATTATCCTTGTGTGTGTGTGTGTGTGTGTGTGTGTGTGTGTGAGTGTGTGTGTGAGTGTGTCTGTGTGTGTGTGTGTGTGTGTGTGTGTGTGTGTGTGTGTGTGTGTGGGTGTGATCACCAGTGAAGGGCAGGGAGGGGGCATCACAGTTTAAGCTGGTTTCAGGCACGTTAAAGTTGATAAGGGATTGTTACCAACCAACAGGCCAATAATGATTATGAAAAGAGATCTGCATATGAAACTGTGCTATTTAAAAACAAAAGGCAGGCACTGTTTAAAAAAATCTGTGGCACTCCTTCAGCTTTAGAAGCAGAGGAATCTTGTTTGGCCAGAGGAACTATCTGACAACAGGACTGCCCTCCTCCTTCACATTCTCTCGCAAAAAACAGAGCTGTGTCACTCTGCAATTGAACCTGTCCACCGAAAGACTTTTCTCTCCTGGTGTAGACGAAGCTGCTAGACAATGGGGAAGATTGGCAAGGAAACAGCAGGTCAGGTCATAAGCTTCATAGGCGTCATTGGGGTGGCAGTGGCCTGTGGGATCCCCATGTGGCGAGTTACCTCTTTCATTGGAGCCAACATTGTTACAGGCCAGATTGTATGGGATGGTCTGTGGATGAACTGTGTGATGCAAAGTACTGGACAGATGCAGTGCAAGCTGAATGACTCTCTCCTGAGCCTGACGACTGATCTGCAGGCTGGCCGAGCACTAGTCATCATCTCACTTCTCTTTGGATTTATCGGCTTTATCATCTCGTTTGTTGGAGCCAAGTGTACCAGCTGCCTGGAAAAAGATGCATCAATGGCAAATGTGGTGATCATAAGTGGCTGTCTCATCATTATCTCTGCTATCCTGATCTTAATCCCCGTCTGCTGGTCTGCAGCTTTCACCATCTCAGACTTTCAGAACCCCTTGACTGTAGCAACACAGAAAAGGGAGATTGGATCTGCTATCTACATTGGATGGGGCTCAACTATACTTCTTCTGATCGGTGGGATCATCTTAACCACCTCCTGTCCTCCCCAAAAACAAATGTATGGATACCCTAGCTACCAACAACCAGTGTATGCTTATTCAAGACCAAACTCAGCCGCATATGGCCGTGTGTATGCTCCACCATCCAACCAACCATACACAGTCGCAGGTGGTTATGCTCCCAGCAAGCCATATGCAGCACCAGCCTCATATCCTGCTTCACAATATCTATAAAAATGAAGGAAGAGATCAAGGACAGAGACTGAAAACCTTGCCCTGATAGCTGCTGGACTTTGAAATGACCACTGGGAAATACAATCACACGAAAATATCAGATGTACAGACGGCATTATTCTGATACACTGATGTAAAACAACTAGACTTCTACACATACTTTTATCTTTAAGATTGTGAAGCTATGATGTAAAAGGAATCTGTGTGTGTGCTGAAAATTGCATTGCTTTTCACAAGGAAGTCACTGTCTGATATATTTATTTCCCTGTTATGAACTACAGATTTAGCAGTGTGCTTCTTTTCTGTAACTGCCACTTTATCTTGTACATTTTCATATGAATTTCAATAAAAACATTTGTCTTACCTGTAACCTGCCTGTTTACGGAGTCATTGTTTATTAAAACATCATGAACAATTATCTACATAAAAAAATAAGTTCAGATCCCTAGATCTACACCTACGTAAATTTTCTGCTAAAATCTTTAAGAAATTGATAGGTAACAAATGATATTAGTGTCTGATTCCACAACACAAAATAAAAATAAAAGTCACAAGGAGTGCGGTTTATTCTTTGATAATAATGTAAAATATTGATAGTGATATCAACAGAGTGGAAAATAAATTGGAAAAAAATCAACTCGATTGGTACAGTATTTCTGATCAATTAAAAAAATGAAAATAAAAATATACAAAACAATAAATTGACTCAAAGCTATGATCAATTTCTATTATGTCTAAGGACACCTAAAGTAGGAAGGCATCTTGTTAGAGAATGCCTCGACATCCATTGAAACTAACACCCGCGTTTGTTTGTAAAGCCCGAAACCAGTGACTGAACCGGATGTCCCAGTAACCTGCCCAACCAATGGTTGACCAGTGCAGAGGATTGTTTGAATGAGGAATTTTTACATCCCTCATTTACATACTGACGTGCATCTGATCGAAACTAAGTCTAGTCTGCGTACAGATAATGTGAAGAATCTGGCTGGGCTGGTAAATCATTCTGGTAGTGGTTTCAGGTCAGAGGGAAGGATCATTTGACTCCACCTTCAAGAGAATATAAGCACCTTTATATGTGCCATGGTCTTAGTTAGAGTTCACAACCTAAGTGGACGTGCTCGTGAAACCTTTAAATCCTTTGCTTCGTTCATCTCCAAGGGACTCAAGCCTCATCATGGTGTCAATGGGACGACAGATGCTGGGCTTTGCCCTGGCAATCATTGGCTTCGTGGGGACCATCGTCACTTGTGCCTTGCCTATGTGGAGGGTCAGCGCCTTCATTGGAGCCAACATTGTGACGGCGCAGATTATCTGGGAAGGTTTATGGATGAGCTGTGTCATGCAGAGCACTGGCCAGATGCAGTGCAAAATCTATGATTCTCTGCTGGCTCTTTCTCCAGATCTCCAGGCTGCCAGAGCTCTTGTGGTCATTGCTATCTTGGTTTCTTTTATGGGGGTTATCGTCGGCATTATTGGAGGAAAGTGCACCAACTTTGTGGAGGAACCAAGATCCAAAGCCAAAGTGGCCATTGCTGCTGGAGCTATCTTCATCTGTGCTGGTGTGCTTGTTCTCATCCCTGTATGCTGGTCTGCCAACTCCATCATCCAAGATTTCTACAACCCTACCCTGATAAGTGCCCAGAGGAGAGAGATTGGGGCTGCACTCTACATTGGCTGGGGCACAGCTGCACTTCTAATCCTGGGTGGTGCCCTCCTCTGCAGCTCCTGCCCACCCAGAGAGAGCCCAGAGTATCCAGTGAAGTATGGCGGTCCCAGGTCCACAGCCACCAGCCGAGCCTATGTCTGAAATTCTACTGAGAAGGACTATAAATTATTTTAATTTTCTTCAGTAACACTCCTTCATTCTGATTGTCTAATTATACCACAATTTGTATGTCACTTTCTGTGTTAAGGTAACAAGCTATTCTGACTTTCTGTGAAATTCAGAATTCTTTGGTAGACACATGAGGGTTGTGTTTCTTAGACATCAAAAGTCCAAAGATGTGTGAATCACAGAGCTTCCAGCACACCCCAAATCTGGACTGAATGAAACTATTTTATACTGAGCTTGTATCAAACCTAACTATCCTCTGAAGTCTTGTGGGAAATCAAACCTGTGCTTGAAGGATGCTATACAAGTCAATGTGTATTGTACTACAGTTATATTATGAATTTATTGTAAACAATATTTAGAAATATCTCTATTCAGCTGCAATATGAAAGTACTGCTTTTGTTTACTGAGCTGATTTGTAATAAAACATTTTACCTAATTATATAATTTTGTTGGTGTCCTTTTAGATCACTCAGAAATTTGTTTACTGGTTTAAATGAGGTGTTTTTCTTTTTTTCATATTTTTTTCCTATTTATCTTGACAATAATGTATTTATCATTAGGCCTACACAGAGCCTAAGCAGTTAAAACATTTAGCTTTTGTTGCTGCCTTCATGGCAACAAAAGCTAAATGCTCCTTCGTGGCACCTTTTAACAAGTTTAGCCAGTTTCACACCATGACTGCCAGCGATACCCTTTTCATAAAACTGATTTTGTGTGTTAGTCAGTGAGTAAATAGAACACCCATAACACCCATAAGACACTACAAGTTAAAAATAATGTCAATTAAAAGGCATTTAGTTTCGTTGCCCATATGGTAAACAGGTGACAGTCACAGCACTTCAGTCTCTAGCTAAAAGACGCATAAGGGAGTAACATGTTGTGCAACTTTTAAATGCAAGTATTTAGTGAATATCAGCTAACACAAACTGTTTGCCACACAGTGTGTCTGCTAGATAAAGGTACAACAGTTTCATTCATCTCCCAGGGAGAGAAAAGAATGAGAGATAACCAGAGATTGAGAAATATGTAAGAAAGGCACGTCAGCACAAAAAGAAGAGAGGTTATGTTAAAATGTAAAGACTGTTAGGTGTCTTTACATGAAGCATGTAATGTGCTCATTAAAAATCAGGTGTTACATCTTTTTATGGTGTTTCGATAAATTTGATTTTTTTTTCATGTAGTGAAATTTCCTGCAAAACAAACTGAGGTATGCTAGCCTCAAGTCATTGTAAGTTTAATGGGCTTGTGATGCTTAGATTACTTCACACCAACTGTATACTGCCGTGTATAAGTACAGTATCAACAGCATGCTGTCAGTGTAGGGGATGGAAATCACCCAAGGTAGCTTGTTGAATTCACTTCATCCACAAAGAGCAGTAAACCTCAGTTCAGCAAAAGCAGCAGCACAGGTCAGCTGATCAAGCCTGTGCACAAAGAAAGTATACTAGAACGCACAACAGTAGAGATTGTGTTGTGAATCTTTTACCCACGCTGAATAACTACAACCAATTTTAAGGTTCCAAAACTGCTGAATTCCATTTTTAACCCTGTTGTTCAGGGTGTGTTCGCTACAGTCACACAACCTGTTATGTCTGTCCATTGTTATCTAGTATCACATTCCAGAGTTTCTCTTTGTGGTTAGACAGTGAATCTGCTGAAACCAGCTGGGTTGATTACTCTGAGCTCTGTCACATGTCACTGACATCACAGCCTTCTTCTCTGAACGAACGAAAAATAACAACTAGGTTTTGGTTACTCAATTAACAGAAACTCCAACGTGTTGTTTCTACTTCCATTCTACATAAAACACTTATAGTAGTCTTGAAATAAATAGTTGACATTTGAACAAATGTAAATCCATCCATCCATCCATCTTCATCCGCTTTGTCCGGGGCCGGGTCGCGGGGGCAGCAGCCTAAGCAAAGCAAACAAATGTAAATATAAGGAAATATTTATGAAAACAAAATCAATTTGGCATTATGTTGAATAGATTTCTCACTACTAGTATTCAGATTGAGGGATTAAGATATATTTCACTGATCCTCTCAGGGAATTTTATTCTATTTATTCAACCCATCCTAAATATTTAGAAGAGCAAACAGCCAGTATATTGAGTCCAGATGTGAGCAATTGCCTTGATCAAGGGCACAGTGACAGGAGAATTAAATTAACACATGTGACATTTTGACAAAAAGACAAAAAATAAGAAAAACTAAATCTTATCAACATTTCAAAATGTCAAACAAACTGAAATACTGATGCAGTGTCTCATTTCCTAGAGAAACGTGTGTGAGAACAGATAAGCTTTGGCACCGTTCATCTAAGGTTTTGGATCATTAGGACACATTTTAAACAACAAAATAGAGTTCTGTCTAATTAACATCCAATATTGATTTATTTAAAAGTAATTTATCCAAACCTTCATCAGTGACATTGTGAATCAAGCTAGATACAGGATCACTTCACAACAAAGCTGAAATTTTCTCAGACCCCAGACATAATGGAGAAGACAAATATATATATTTATAAAGCAGATAAAGACAATTTTTCATATGGGTGTTACAAATAATATATACTGAAAATGAAAACACGCCTGAGAACATGAGAGCAAAGCAGAAACAATGAGCCCCTCCCTGTTTACGGAAGCTTTTACTCAGTACTTGGATGTCTGTGTTTTGTTCCTTTTACGGTAGTTCTCACTATGACCACATTTCACCATGACAGCACATACACTTCGACACACACTGACTCACAAAGCGAAATCAATACCACCTGCTCTATTGCGGCTGAAAATCTGTTTACAGAGTTTACAGATTTGGAGTTTACATATTGCACCTTTATCCTTTGTTTTTGTTGAAAAAATGTATTTTGTTTTGGTTTTTGATGCTCAGAACACGAGGAAAGCATTCAGTTACCAAAGTCCTTGTCCTTCTGAAAAATGATAGAAGCCTGAATGTTTAATATTCCTAAACACAAAGAATCCAGCATAGCCAGTCTTCTCTGTCAGGGCTTCTGAGCCCACAATAGCTTCGCTTTTATACCTCTTTTTATTAGATTTCATACACACTTTAGTGACATTCAGAGCGAGAAGACAATGGCTTCTCTGGGGTTGGAGATGGCAGGCTGTGCCCTTGATCTAGTTTGGTTGGATTGGTTTATTTGGTGCTCTTTGTCTGCACCAGTCCCATGTGGAGGGTCACAGTGTTCATGGACAGCAACATTGTAACTTTGCAGGTCATGTGGGAGGGCATCTGGATGAGCTGCATGCATACATGTATGTCTACGACTCCATGCTGGCTTTAAGCCCAGACCTCCAAAGTTCCTGTGCTCTGGTGGTAGTTTCCATCATCATAGGCATTGCAGGGCTCCTCGCAGCTTCTGCTGGAGGGAAATGTACTAACTTCATTCCAGAGGAGAGAGCCAAAGATAGGGCCTCAGTGACAGGTGTTGTGCTGCTGATCATCATTGGTCTACTCTGCACTATTGATGTTTCCTGGACTGCCAGCATCACCATAAGGGACTTTTACAAACCCATGGTAGTAGACGCCTAGAAAAGAGAGCTTGGTGCTTCCCTTTACATTGGCTGGGGGACTACTGATCTCAGGAGGGGGGCTCTGTTGTGTCAACTGCCCTCCTAAGAAAGATAATGCTCCACTTGTTTAAGTACTTCTTAAAGTACTTGTTTAAGTACTTCTTAAACAAGTCTGTAGGAAACAACACAGAGGAGTCATTCAGATCTCTGACACCAAACACATACATTTGAACATTCTGATGGGAATATTGAATAAACAAAGGCTGTTGTGAAACATAAAGAAAAAGCACATGCACACAGACAACATGCAATGAAGGAAATCTGTTCATTGCATTTGTTCTCAAGAGGGAATCAGTTTTAGCTTCCTAGAGGCTTCCTAAACATGTTTCCTAAACATTAAACATGTTTACGTGGACAGTTTATTGTATATGTATTTTTAATTATAATAAATATTTTATTTTATTTTATATATAAAATAGCATATATTATATATATATATATATATATATATATAATTATATATATATATTATATATATATATATATTATTATATATATTTTTTATATATATACATATATATATATCATTCACGCTGACTAATAATATATATTATCAGGTGATTGTATATATAATATGTAATATATATTAATAATATATTAATATATATATATATATTATATATAATATATATATATATATAGTATTATATATATATATATATTTATAATATATAATAATAATATAATAGTAATAATAAATAGTAATAATAATAATAGTAATAGTAATAATAGTAATAGTAATAATAATAATAGTAATAATAATAATAACAATAATTCTGCTTCTGTGTTTGTTTCCTCTGATGATATTTGTTTACATACTTTTGAAAAAAGGGGCCTGGGAGTGATGTGAAAAAAACACGGAGAGAACCTGTTTGTCCGGTACTTACCAGTAACGACTACTCAAGTAACAAAAAATGGTGACTCAGGGACCAACAACGCTGTTGGCTGATGAGTTTAGTAACCCATGACTTACCCTCAGTGGTTTCATTCATCACACTGTGTCATGCTGCGTTTGCTCAGCACCGCAAAAATTCAAAGGTATTATCTGAAAGGGTGTAAACCTGTTTCCGTGTGTTGAAACTGGTGCCACTGTGTGTATTTCAGAATAAAAAAATAACTTTTAACTGATTTTCCTTTAAAATGCTTATGTTGTTTGTGCTCAGCCGCACCTGTCTAAAAGGAGTGTTTTCTCATGTTATCAGGCTGCTGATCTGACAGTGGGCGGGGTCGAATCACTAGATGTTCAGGAAGTGTGTGAATAGCACATGATGGTCAAAACAACACCTCTCACTGCTGTTCCTATCTTTCTCTGCTGTTTATGGTCACAGCCCACCCCCGAATGGCACTTTCCGGTTATATGGATACAGCGGAGGAATAAAGATAGCTATTAGTATCAATAGACTTTATTATCAGTTTACTAACAGACCCAATGCAGTGTGGGGCGCTAACAGCTCATTGTTTAACATTAAAGAAAATTCAGTTGTAAATGTGTGCACCACAGATTAAAAAAAAAAAATCAAAAAGGTGATATCAGCTTCTCCAACATCCCATAAAGATTCCGATCGAATTAAATTTTATACTAACTCAATTGTACTTATATAGCGCAAACTCACAACAGCAGTTTGTATATTGTAGGGCAAAAACACTGTAACCCCCTAGGTGAAGGAGAAACTCCCTTGAAACAGGAAGGGAGAACAGCAGAACCAGGCTCAGGGTGGGGCATCAATCGGGTGTGACTGGTTTGGGGCAAGGGGAAAGAAAGAGAGCAGACGCAGCGCATTTTGTTTTTTAAATAAGGTTATTACTAACTCAGCAGTGACAACTCGAATTCTGAACCTGTTCATTGTGAAACAGCTATTTATAAGATGATAGATCATAGTCCAAGAAACAGTCTGTCGACTGCAATCATCTTAACAGATGTTTGTTCGTCTTTAGTGAAATACTGCCATCTAGTGGACTGTGAGCTAAAAGGCCAGAAAACCCCAAAATGATTTTCGGATAAAAGACACAGGAAACCGTGGAAGCTTGTTTTTGCCAGTAGAAGATGAATAACTTAAAAAATTATGTATTTTTTTGTTATACAAAAGAGATTTTTTGCCTTAATTTAAAAAATTCTCTCAAAATTCCGAGTCAGCTCTCCCAGAATCTTGAATAATTAACTCAAATGTTTGAGAAAATAACTTGAAATTTAAACTTCATACAATGCTTCATATTTCTTCAGTTTCCAAGTGGTCATAATTTAAATTTAAAAGCTGTATCTGTATGATGATCCTCATCTACATGAGTACATGTTACATGACAGAATGTTGCAAACATCTATTCCAAATAAAAACGAAGCTTCTCATTCTTGTCAACCTTCTGTGTTTCCTGCAGTTCTCCATGGGTCTGCAGGAGCTTGGCATCAGCCTGTCAATGACCGGTGTCGCTGGGACCATTCTGATCTGTGCTCTGCCCATGTGGAAGGTGACAGCATTCATTGGCACTCATCTGGTGGTTATGCAGGTGTTCTGGGAGGGTTTGTGGATGACCTGTGTCAGTGAATACACAGGTCAGATGCAGTGTAAGCTCTACGATGCTCTTCTGGACCTGTCTCCAGACCTCCAAGCAGCCCGTGGCCTTATTTGCATCAGCCTGGTTTTGGGATGTCTGGCGTTCCTTATCTTTCTTCTGGGGGCGCGCTGCACCAACTGCCTGGGCCACCCACAAATCAAAGCTAGGGTGGTGATGAGCTCTGGGGCCATCTTCTGCCTGGCAGCTCTCACCTCTATAGTTCCTGTTTCTTGGACAGCCAACTCCATCATCAGGGATTTCCACAACCCTCGAGTCCCTGAGGTGATGAAGAGAGAGCTTGGAGCAGCCATATACATAGGTTTTGTGACATCTGGGCTGTTGTTCTGTGGGGGAGCCATTTTGTGCACAAGCTCTCCACCCCATAGAGACAGGTTCCCCTCTAGTGGGTACACACTGGCCAAGACACCCACACGTAGCAGTTACGCCATCAAGAACTATGTGTGAAGATAAGATTGAAGACACACATGTCAGGGTGTGTCTGAGTGAATAAAATACACTACCAACATGTTATCACTTTAGAATAAATACCTTGAACTTGCAGTCTTGAACTCTTTGGATAAAACCTATTAGCCATTTAATAATTCAAAGATGGAAGCAATTGTTAAGATAACCATCTATTCTGGCAGTAAAGTAAAATAATTAGATAATTTATGTCTTAGTGTCAAATCATACATGTTTGATCATATAGAAATCAACTTTAAAAGTATGAAAATTTTACTTACTTAGTTTGTTTGAACCACATAAATCTTTTCTTTTTTTCTAGATATTTTGAAGTGGCACAGGGTTGCACCAGTAGAGGTAGTGCATTTGCTTCACACCTCACTCCTTACCCAACTCTCACCTCTACCTCAAAGAAGGTGTCTGTTGAATCTGGCTTAGGTGTCAGAGTTGGTCAGTGACTGCTCAGAAGGTCAGTGGTTCAGTCCCAGGCTTGTCCAGTCTGCATGCGTTGTACTGTGTGGCTACAAAATAGTGAACATTCCTATTTCTTAAGCGTCTGTTTTGTGTAGCAGTCTGATGTCTATAAGTTGTAAATTTAACTTTATTAGAGACACACACACAAAAAAAACAATCAAGAGAAAAACTCTTGAAAGTTGCCATTCAGTGAGACAAACACACATATTTGTAGTTGTATCCAGTTCTGGAGTACTGCTGATTGTGAGAGTGCTATCAGTCCCCACATTCAGTTAGTGATTGTGACCATAATTGCACAGAATGAACACATATTTCACACCCATCAAATCACTCAAAAACCTCTCTTGAGCTATGGATGAGAGCATCGTTGTCATCCTATAAAAGACCCATCCCATCAGAACAGAAATGTTTATAATGCACTCACCATGGCCTGCTAGTAACAGCACCCCTCCCACCTTGGCCTTCAGAATTGCCTTAATTATTCATGGCATAGATCCAACAAGGTGCTGGAAACATCCCTCAGAGATTTTGAATGTGTTGATAAAACATCATTACACAGTTGCTGCAGATTTGTCAGCTGCACATCATCGATAGCAGCCTCCTGTTCCACTGTTTCCCAAAGGTGCTCTATTGGATTGAGATCTGGTGACTGTGGAGTAGAGTGAACTTATTGTACCCATAATAATCAAAAAATGAACTTGTTTCTTGAAGCTTTATGACAGGGGATGTTATTCTGCTGAAAGCAGCCATCAGAAGATGGGTATATTGTGGTCACACAGGGACAGAGAGTGACAGCAATAGTACTGAGACAGGCTGAGGCATTTAATCAATGATCAGCTGTTGTGAAGGGGCCAAGTGCCACTACACTACCACTCGAATACTGAAGCATATTCAGTATCAGGCAGGATGGATCCATGTTTTCATGTTCACGCTACTCTCTGACCCTGTCAAAGCTGGTCCAAATGATACGCCTCAGAAAAGCTTAACTCTGGTGAGCCTTTGCAACTTGTAACCTCATTTTGCTGTTCTTAGCTGATGGGAATGACACTCTCCAGGACAGGTCCTCTGCTGTTGTAGCCAATCTGCTTCAAGTTCAACATGTTTTATATTTTCCCAGATGCTCTTCTGCATTCCTTGGCTGTAACAAGTTGTTATTTGAGTTACTGTTGCCTTCCTATCAGCTCGAAGGAGTCTTTGCCTCTGACCTCTGACATCACAAGACAGAGCAACACACTAATGCTCACTGGATATCTTCTCTTTTACAGATCACTCTCTGTAAACCCTGAAGATGACTGTGTGTGAAAATCCCAGTAGATTAGAAGTTTCTGAAATATTTACACCATCACCAACAACCATGACATGTTCAAAGTATTTGGAAGTAATTGTAAAAGTAATTGTGTTTTCAGCTTAACGTGCATGCGTTCGTGTAGTTTAGTCTGAAGTTTTTGTGAACTTAAACAGAGAATGTTTTCTACGCTGAAAGCTTTTGTGATTGACTTGTTTCTTAGTATTCAGAATAAAGACTGCAGAGTAACCGTGTGTCATTTGAATCAATATTTGCTGTCACTTTTCTTACTGCCACAGAGATTTAGTAACCTGTTGGGAGAAATCTCAGAATCAGCAAGAATTTGTGGCTCTTTAGATCAAGTTACTTCCCAGAAACACGGGCCAGTGGCTAAACATGAGCGCACAGTAGAAGCTTTGTTTTCCCCCTCTGCTGAGAAACTGTGAGAAAGCGATTGTTTTGAAACCATGGTAGGGCAAACAGGGATTTCCCTCCTCCACCCAGCCGTAGACACGCGGTGCCTTCTTTTCAAGAATACCAAAGAACTGGTTTCCTCTCTCTGAACACGGCATGCAAAACAAACAGGCGCACAAGCAAATGATCTCTGCCTCACACATGCACATGCACGTTAAAATAACACCCCACCCCACTGTGCTCTGCAGCCAGCTGTTTCTGGTTACACAGGCAGGTCTGCAGTGAAGAGGAGGACCCGGCATGAAGCAGAAGCTGGAGCAGAAGCTGGAGCTCGCTGCCCTCGGCCTCGGCGCCATCGGGTGGCTATGTGCCATTCTGACACGCTGCCTAGCCTTGTGGAAAGTAAGCGGCACCGTGGACAACACCACAGCTACTCTGCCTGCCTACTGGGACGGGGTGTGGTTGGAATGGGATCACTGGGATTTGGCCCACGATGGCAGCCTGCATTGCTCCTTTTACCGGTCTCTCATGTCTCTTTCTGGAAGTTTTCGGACGTGGAGAGCCCTGATTTTGGCAGCCATTGGCGCTGGGGCTTTTGCTTCAGTGATCGGAACAGTGGGGATGGTGTGGTTCCCTCAGCGAGGCCAGATCAAAGTGTTTTCTGGTAGTCTCTTTGTTTTGTCAGGGATCATACTGTTGGTTCCCATAGCTTGGACGTGCCACCACACCAGTCAGCCACTGGAGGGCGCTGCGGGTCTACAAAGGGACTGGGGACCTGCTCTCTACCTTGGATGGATCTCTTTTGGCTTGATGCTTGCCGGTGGGGTGTTTCTTACCACCAGATGCCCAACTGCTCAGAGGCAGGAGGAGCAGACTTCAGACAGCAAGTACCCAAATCTAGAGGAGGAGGCCAGTCACCCACTGAGCAGGATCAACAGGACTACGTTCACACACAGCCAGTACGAACGCAGATCAGAGCCTATCTGAGAGGACTGTGATGCAATATTTAACCGAGCGTGAGGGATTAAACTGGAAAATCAGCAAAGAGCTGAAGAAAACTTGTGGCTGCAGGTTAGGTAATGATGCACTGGCTTAAAAGTAATGAACACAGCACTGGAAAGTCATTTATCATGGGGCTAGTTTCACTGATAGGGATGTGGGCAGGACTTTAACTTTGCATGTTGCTTTGCAGTGTTTTCACCTCCAGTGAAGATAGCAAACTGTTCATAATGCAGTACTGTTATACAGTTTAAATTACTTTCAAGTGATACTTTTGGGTGTCTGTTGCATTACTTGATGAAATTACCAATTCTGACCGATAATAACGATCCCAAAACTTATCGCACAAATACATTTTACTGTGTAAATAAAGCAATACAACTTTACATGGACCGAACTGTTGGACACAGAAAAGCACTGCAAATTATTCAGAAACATATTTTAATAAAGTTGTTTGACTTTTTTTCTTTTAACTAGTTATGCCACTGAGCAGATGAAGAGGTGTGAGGGGCAATTTAAAAATCATATAACCATCAGTTTTTCAGTCTTTTGAAAATGTTTGATGGAAATAAAGCCAGAGTCTCTGAATAGATGAATATTTGTGGCCCAGTGACGAATAAGACCATAAACGTACTCATCCTACTCACACAATAAGCAGTGAGAAACAAGCCTGAATTACAGTCTTCTAGAAGAACGCCAGCATCTGGATATCATTGCACGGATTAAAGTTTACCAGCACCACATCAGGTGCTACAACCTCACCCAACATCACCCAGCAGGAGTGCATACGAGAGCTCAAACGTGTGACGCTGCTGGACAGGAAAAAGTCTGCGTTATATCGGATTAAGCCGATGTGCCAAAAGCACAGATTATAATCCAACAAGCAGAAGTGAACCGTTTCCTGTGTGTGCTGCATGTGAGAAAGGAAAACTGTGGAAAATATGCTCATTCTGAATTTGACAGTCTCTGATATTCATGTGTGAACGAGGATCTGATTTCTCAGCTGTATTTCTTTTATTTGATTTCTGATTAAAAAAAACAACAACAGTTGCATCACTCTTTGGGCTGCATCTCACTTTTACTTTATAGTTTCTTCTACTAATGATATTTATAAATGCTGTATTGTCACCTTTCTGAACACCTTTAAGATAAACAGGATATTCCATGGAATTCTGTACATTATTTTTTTTCTTAAAGAATAAAACGGAGGTGAATTTGTCATTACCCTGTGCTGGGTTACTATCCATCCTCTTAATTGCTTTACCAATTCTGGGTCTTGGGGGCCTGGAGCCCCTCCCAGCTGTCATTAGGTAAAAGGCAACAGGAACCCTGTTGCTGTGAGCAGACAGTGCGAACCACTGCACCACTGCGCCGCCTCTGCAAAGCAGCGTATATGAGAAAAATCCCCCAAGAGATAATATTTTGTATAGTGTTTATTACAGACCAAACTTATTATAATAAAATAGAATTTACCAGGATAAAGAAATGATCCACAGATAATAGGATGGGATACTGAGCGCGACTACATGGCACACGACTTTGTGTAGACGTTCTGCTAAATTAGTAATCGACTTAAAAAAAAGTGAATAAATAAAAGAGAAAACATCAGAAATAAGCACCGACTTTAAAGTTCAGGCATAAATTCTCAAACCTGCTTTCAAAATATATTCCACTCAGCAAATTATAACTTCTTTCAGTCAAATTAATCCTTACAGGGTGAAAGTGGCTGAAATTGTGATAAATCAGACCATAAACATAGATTTTTTTTTCATGAGTTTGCAGTCTGCGTGCCCTAATGAAGCGTGTTAGTGTGGATAAGGTGCAGAGTTCTGACGGGCAGGGTTACTATAGTTTCTCATCTCCCTCCTCCACATCCTTGAGACTGAGAACCTCCAGAGAGCCTCGGCCTTTAGTCTCACAGCGGATCAGCTCATCGATCTCCCTGAAGCAGCCGGGATCCACCAGACACACCTGACAGACGCACACCCGGGAAAAATAAAGAGTAATAAAGGGATAATAATATTGGCTTTACATTATAATATGGTAAGAGACAAAATTTCAGTTTAAAAAACACAAAGCTGATCTGCAGAGCTTCATGGAATTGTTCATATTATTGAATGAAAGTAGAGATTATTCAGTCACAACCACAAATACCATTAAACGCCGCTCACCATTTCCAGCTCCTCATCAAAATCCTCACTCTCCACGACCTGCAGGAGCGGTTTCAGCTTCTCCTTCAGCCTCTTGGCCTCTTTGGCTGGCAGCACCAACCGCAGCCTCATGTGGGCTCTCTGGATCTCCATGCTCTCCTTCAGCTGCCGAATCACCTCCAGGGCCTGAAAACAACAGCACACATCTGTTTATCAATGATGTAAAAAAGCATCATCATTCACTGCAGAGAAGGCCTGAAATACATAGATTATAACTGCAACAACTTCCACACCAACAAACTGAAGTCAGAGGGGCAGAGTATGTGTGATCACCGAGCTTCAAACATTTAGTTGCTCTTTGTTTACTTGTCACCGGCAAAAGACTTTGAATTCACTCTCGTCTATTTATTTGTTTTAGACACAAAACTCAAACTACTGAAAAAATATGAAGCTTCCTGGCTTGAACTTTCTAGTGGGGTCTGCTTGTTCTTCCTGTGTCTGTGTGGGTTTTCTCCAACTGCTCTAGATTCATCTCGTAGTCTTTGGACTATCAGAGGAACTGGTGATTCAAAATTGGCAGTAGGTGAATATGAGAGCCTGAGGTTGTCTGTCTGTGTTAGCCAGGATGCCCTAATGCCCTAGTGCTATGGAGTAGACGCCAGCCACCTCTCTCAAGACCCGTATATATAACCAGTTTTAAAGAAAATGGATGGATGAATTAGAATTTTTTAAAAATATATTTAACATGATTTTTAATGACTTTAAAGGAAAATACACCAATTCGTGCACTATTTTCCATCTGAAGTTGCTGTTGGCTCCATGTTAAGCCTCCAGTTCCTCCTGGGAGATCCTGAGGTGCTCTCAGGCCAGATAAGAAATTTAAGCTCTGCAGCAGGTTCTGCATCCCCCCACAGGGTCTCCATACATACATACCCAGACATACCCATACCCAGAAAACCTCCAAATAGAGGTGCCCAGCAGGCCTGAGATGACCAAACCATCTAAACTGGCTCTTTTGACATGAACGAGCAGCACCTCTACTCTGAGCTCCCCAGATATCTGCTTAAAGGGCTTTGAGTGCTCAGGTAAAGTAGAAAGATGCTAAATAAGAACCAGCCCATTTACTAACACAACACAAGAAAGGGAAACACATGGTATCCTCCTCACCTGCTGCTTTGTGCTCTTGTTGGGCTTGACAGAGTAGTGGATGTCCTTCATGGCCCGCTCGATCAGACTGACTGTGTACGGCCTCTTGGTTTCAGGGTTGACGCACTTCTCTGCCACAATAGTAGCTATATCCCGGAACATGGTCTCCAGCTGAGTCTGCCTCTCTTTGTCTGACACCTGGAGCTCTCCTTTGGCCAAGATCTTCAGGAGAAAAAACAAAACAACCAAGCCCACATGCAGTAAATGGCATGGCTTATGCTTACAATGTGTACGTGTGGGGATGTTTTATACCTGTTTACAGATTTCTGTAAGGTCGTCAGTCCCAAAAGCTTTGGTTAAGTCATCCTTCTTCGCCACCTGGCCTTTGGAAACATTGACGAAAACAGAGTGCGTCTGCAAAACCTCGTCCAGGTCCTTCTCTCTGTAATGAAAACATGACGTGTTGGAGCATTTTTGGCTGATTTAGCATGTAACGACCATCGAGAGGATTTAAAGTGGAAGAGAAATGAATTGTCAAAGTTTCCTCTAGCAACAACGAAGTAAAACAGCAGTCAGGCACAGGAGGCGTTAACATCTCCTGGTACTCACGCTCCTGATCTCCAGCTCATAACTTTGTTCTTGTAACAGGCGATTTCAAATCGCTTCCCGCCTTTCTTCATCCTCACCACCGCTACGTTGGTCAGCCGGATTTGATTCGTTGGCGTAAATATCGACATATTTGCGATTACCACAAACAGTTGCGAAGCAAGCGCCGCTGACAAGAAACGTAGGCTATCACAACACCACCCGTATTCTTCGAGTGTATCCTAAATGGCTGTTCGGTATGAAACTGTGACTTCGAACATCAGTTCCGAGTCAGTTTTGTTTCCTTTGTTGTTATTCGTTTAACAAGTTAAATAAATACATATATGCATAATTAAATACATATTTATGAAATTTAACTTTTCAAACTGTTATTATTTTCGAAGTAAAACGCCACATAAATTGGGCACTGTTAGATTAATGGTTGCAGAATTATGAGATAACATCATATTTAATTGTCTGACAGCAAAATCTATTATTATTTATTGTTATTGACAGCGTTAAGTATTAAAAACGTTTTGAACTACGTGTAAGTCTTATTTTGAAATGAATAATCGGACGTGCTTAATGCCGCTGTCATGCCTGCATTAATGCAAGTTTGACGAATTTCTATGTGCATTTCGCCGCTGTGACCACTGGAGGGCAGAAAATATTCCGTTTCGATTTAAAGCCACCTGCAGTTCTTTCTTCCTACATTATCATACTTTTCTCTGCACGTTAGTGATTTCGCCTAATAATAGTTGTCACATTATCACGGAAGTTAACACAACTACCAGAAAATAGCTCACAGCTTTTCTCAAGCCTCAGTGTTGTAATTAATTTGAACGTTAGCATATTTTAATTGGTCTATTGCAGTTCCTCCATATGACCACAAGAGGGCGACCTACAAAAACGACTAGGGGTATTTGTAACCGAGCTAGCTTACCAGAATGCATAAGTGCAGTTATTTGTTCAATATCATTTGACATTGCATTCATTTTATTTTCAATGTCCGGATCCCCTCATCTGGCGTCAGTTTACAAAATGTTAAAAGTAATTAAAATAAAAATGACAAATTAAAAATCCTTCTGGAAACAACAACAAAATCAAAATAGACATAGTGTAATAGAACCACTTCCTCTATAGACTTTCAAAATAAAGCATACCGAGACCTATAGGTATAGGTATGAATGAGTAAAATATTCAAAATTAAATCCAAGAAGATGAATTTCATCGTTTAATTTAACTTCAGCTGCTTTTTAAAAAGTCTGAATGTCCATAAGCAAACAAACTCAAGCCGTTGGACGATCCGAACTCAACTTCCCAGCATTCATATCGGCAAAGAATATGGTTGCGCAGAGCTTCAGGTGCTGAAGACTGTGTGCAAGTAGTTACTTGCAGCAATGCCAACTTTTATCGTATTTGTATTGCTTTTGGCCTCCAGCGTGTCTGCCTCGGATTCAAAAGGTGAGTTTATTTTAAATATTTAAAGCAACTGAAAACTCTCTTCAAGCTGTGTTTTGGCTAAAGGAGGGTAGCATTACTAGCTAGCATGCGTTGCTGGCCAGTCCCCCGACTTTTATTTTTCGCAGGTAGCTTCAGGTTGGGATTTAATTCTGTTTTGTTGTTGCATGTGGTCAGCTGTGGTTTGGCAGAAACATATATGATGTGGCTGTTTTCTTCATCAAAGCAGTTCAGGATCTGAGGACTCAGTTTGATGTGTTTTCTCCCTCCAGTCTCTCAGGATGCCCGCAGTCCCACTGAGAGCTATTTCATGTGGTTATGGCACAGCAGGTTATACCTGTACTCAGCTGCTGCGCTTGTTTTTGGGCTCTGGTTCTTACTGAAGAAGGTGAGGCACTTACTCATACCTTACTCTAATTTGTGTATGTGTTTTAGTCTCTAAACGGTCTCTGCAGAGCTTCTTAAGGTCTCGCTGTCTTGACCGGAAACAGCTCCATTTATCTCTGCACTGATCTGCTTTCAGAAAAGCGTTTCTAAAGATGCCAGCAAAGAGAAGAACGACAAAGTTGACAAAGCTGCAAAGAAGAACGACAGAGAGACCAAGGAGGTTCATGTGTCAGGAGTCAAAATCTTCTATGGCTCACAAACCGGGACTGCAAAGGTACAAAAGTTGTTTCCTGCAAATCTAAAGTGACCAGATGAGAGCAGAGAAAATATGAGACACAGAGAAAGCGACTGATCAGAAACCTGCTGTTGGTTTTCCAGCCTGTCTCTCCTGTCACAGGGTGCCACTGACACGCAAACCCCTTTACCCTTTTAAAAATAAAACAAAATAGTAATACCAGTAATTATAATTACTCTACAGATCATTGACAACCTGAATCACTACACTGATTAACAGTTTCTGTATCAAGGCTCATGTGTAACTTTCACAGTCTGCAATAACAATTCATTACCCTTGTGCATATTTTTGCTCTAGCGTGGTAAAGTTACTGCATTTTAATGCATCAATAGCACTCCTCATCTCACAAAGCACAGTGGTAGTAAAGCTTTCTGTTGCATACAGCAATGCTAAGCTAAATTTCATCAACCAGTTCCTGAGTCAAAAACTCTGAGCACTAAATTTTACACACATGTAATCAAGCACATTTAACGCAACTCAAATTTAAATCGATAGTATTTTGAAAAGTACTCAGCACGTGGTAATTTAGTCTTTACTGACATCTTAAAAGCACCATCTGAGACTCTCCATATGTTCAGGGCTTTGCGAACGAGCTGTCAGAGGAGGTGAAGTCTTTGGGTTTACCAGCCGAGGTGATTGACATGAAGGACTACGATCCAGATGATCAGCTTGCTGATGAGGTAAGCCAACCAAAGCAGAATATGCTCTTCAGTTTCATATTAGACTGCTTTATACTGTAAGGTAGAGACCCTGTACTGTTTCACCCTGTGAGCAAACACTTCTCAGGGGAATGCTAGGTGTCTGCCAAGTCCTGTTGGGGAGTATGGGGGAAGTATAGACAGACAAGGTTAGCACAGAGATGACAAACAACACACAAGTGACATAGTTGGCTGGTTGATGGACCAGTGAAGCCAGACAGGGACCGTGCATCTTGGAAACCATAGACACCGCTGGAGGGAGAAGGTGTTGATATGTAAGTGCATATGGAGGGAAAGTGACCAGAGGCTAGTTGCACAACAAAACACAAGAGGTCCAGAGCCACTAGCAGCATAACTGAGGGTGGTTCAAGGGCATATGGGCCAACCCAAATATTTAATTCTACTATTTAGTAATACTTGTCTAATAGTTTATCTAAAAGGAAAGTTTAAGACTAATCTGCAAAGTAAGATGGTGTCTACACCCCAAATCCAAACTGGGAGCTGGTTCCACAGATCCTCTAAGGAGACCTGGCAAACTTTTCTTTATCACCCCTACCTGTGGCATCATAGAGAATAAATGAAAGATTAATGCAGCTGTCAGATGGGTACTCTGTAAGCAATTAAATGCTGTTTACAGGATGCTCAGAAGCAGCTGTTGGGTGCTAATTAAATCTCTAAAATGTAACTGTGAGCTCATAAGACCTGCCTGTGTGTACTTCCAGGGAACACCTGATTAGAACAGAATTAATCAAAGGAAAATAAAAATCGTTACTCTTATTTTCAAAGCTTGACAGCAAACACTGGCGTGATAAGCCTCAAGTTCTATTACTGCCAGCTCAGCTTAAGCTTCATTTCTGCTTGAGCCTTCAAACGGCCAGTGCAGAGAGCAAACATGTTCCTGCTCATCTGCAGAAAGATGGATTGTTTTCATCAGTCTTTTTATTTTTGTGAGCACAGTCCCTCTGTGCTGCATTTCGAGATGAATAGGAGATTGGTTGGCTGGTTGACAGCAGAAAAAGGAAAATAACTATTTATTCAAAGGGACAGTGATACAGTTTTCAGTGACAGAAAAGCTCTACGTGAAATGTGTCTGCAGACATCTCTCCTTCAGTGCGACTGATTTACTGGTCAGGCATCAGAGGAAGGAACCTTTTTGTTTGGCACATTTGACCCTGTTTCAGTTCAGTTCATTTTATTTCAAACATTTCAAACATATGGAGAGATGGGAGGAAGCCGGAGTACCATGAACCTTTTTGGATACTCCAGCTTCCATCTACCTGTCCAGGGTGTACTCTGCCTCTTGTTTATAGATTCCTCCCCAACTGTGACCCTGAGTTACGTAAACAGAAGAAAATAGATGACTGCATTATTTGTGGATTTGAGCTACTGTTGGTTCAGTAACAAAAAACATCCACCATCCATTTTCCACTGCTTCTCCAGCAGCAGTCTAACCAGACTTGCTCAGACTTCCTTCTCTCTCTGGCACTTCCCTTCCACCAGATGCAGATACATAGATTCCCAAGCCAGTCGGGAAAAATAACATCTTCACGGTGTTCTGCCCTGGGGTTTGCTTCCATTTGGACATGCTGAAAACACCTAGGAATGCCGATACCACTTCAACTGGCTTCTTTATTGCATCTGCTGCTGCTTAGTTTGTAGCCACAGGCGTTAGTAATTGCTTAATTAATTAGGACTAGCTGGTACGTAATTATGTGTCAGCAGTACATCCAGTTAGTGTCCAGTGTTAGTGTCTCAACCTCTCACTGCATTTCGTCCCTAGTTAGTCCCAGAGACAAGTGTTTCCATATTTGGACAAAAAAAAGTCTTGAATGAAGAAACACTAAGCTTTTTTCCTCCTGTTTAACTCTTTCCTACATGCTGTGTTTACCTCTCCCATTAGTGCATCAGTAAGTCGGTGTGCGTGTTTCTTGTGGCAACTTACACTGATGGACAGCCCACAGAAAATGCTGAGTGGTTCTGCAAGTGGCTCGAAGAGGCATCCACTGACTTCAGATATGGGAAGACCTACTTGAAAGGACTCAGATATGCAGTGTTTGGCCTTGGAAACTCTGTCTATGTTGGCCATTACAACACGGTATGAAAGGTTTTCACAAAATGAGAAGAATTACACTGGTTGATAATAGTCAGCTATTCAGAGGATGTCTAAAGCTTCAAGGCTGTAGCTCAGCAGTTTATTAAGCCTGAATCACTTCAGTGCTTTCAGTAATTACTAAGAATTCAACCTGCTTTTTTCATACAGGTGTGTAAAAATGTGGACAAGTGGCTGTGGATGCTGAGTGGCAGACGAATCATGACCAGGGGAGAAGGCGACTGTAATGTGGTGAAGAGTCTTAATGGCAGCATCCAGGCAGACTTCCTGACCTGGAAGGTCAAGTTCCTGAACCGCTTAAA